CCTCAACGTGGTTCAAACTTATCTGACTAAAAGCAGCATAGTTCCTGGCCTCTACAGCCATATTACACCGGCAGTTGGATACTCTAGAAGTAGCATAAAAACCAATTAATGATTCAGTTATATATATAGTCGGTACTTTGATTAGTATCCAACTTTGGCTCTTGCTTGAATCTTGCTTTCTTACATCATCAACAGGATGATTTCCATAGAAATATAATCCGTTTTCTGACTCGCCACGCGCAATATTTTTAGTCGCATCAGTCTTCATTTTTAGTCGTATCAGTCGACATCATTTCTCTATCGTTCAAATGCATTCTCTTTTTCTCGTTTCTCCAAATAAGTACTTCGAAAATCCTAATATATCCAACACACTCCTGCCGTTTCATTAACATAGTTGATGACAACAGAACATCAAAGGAAATTGCGTTGCTCCTAATCTTGTTCTCCTTGAATCAATGATCTGAAATCCAAGAACTTTTGTCCCTGTAGAGGTTTGCTCATGAAATCCCCCCACATCTTTTCAGTTGGACAATATTCTATAGTCACATTTCCTTTCTTGACTTGATCAGTCATAAAGAAATATCGAATGTTCAAAGCTCGACTTCGCTTTCCAGCACTATCACGTCCATTCTTTTCCAATAGAATAGAACTCTTGTTATCCTGGTATAGGATGTTCTTTTCAACAGGATAACCTTGTGCTTCCACAAACAATTTTGTCCACAATATCTGTGTCGCAGCATCATCGACACCAATCAATTCGGCTTCTGTCAAACTTCGACTGTTCAACTTCTGCTTCTTAGAGATTATCTGTAATCCTCCTTCACCCATAGTCAATACACCTCCAGTGTGACTTCTGAAATCTGGATGAACTGCAAATGATGCATCAATGGCCGCAGCATCCGAGAGTCCATGTGGCATGGGGAACGTGACAACGCTCATCGGTCGTCATATCAATGGCCTCGCACTGTCCGGCCCAACAGGACCCACTGGAAGGCGTGGCAGGAACACCTTACTCGAGCACTACTTGTCTCTGACGGACCCCAGCGCCTACTGCGTCATCCTCTGGGCCCATGGATCGATCCTCTCGACAACTGGAACTGGTTATGGTCTTCTTCCCACGGATTGTTCCACCGCCAGGGTCACGGGTGGCAACACTACCGTCACCGTCGCTCCTCCACACGGAGCATTCAATGGGACTATCCTTGTTCTACGCAATTGTCCGGGTGCAAACGACCACATAACGAGCATACCGCCAACGTTATCCTCCTCATCATCAGCGATTTTGTCGCTGTCATCGTCGTCCAACAGGCCCAAAAAGGCAGAGGCATCAAATGGGCAGATTTTGGCCACTTTTCCCTGTTCTGTTTGGACAAGGCTTACAGGAGCATAATATGAATCATTTTCGGATACTGTTTGTGCTCTGGGGACCTTGCCTGTCTTTCTTTTGCTCATCTTGATCCTTGGTTTTCCAGTTGAAAACAACCTTTTTTCCAGCGTCGCTACGGCTACTCCGTGTAGGAGAAGTACTAGAGGTGGTGTCTTGGAACCCGGATGTGGGTGTTTTTACTTTTTGGTTTTTTCAGAATATATTCCAAGATAGGTGTGAACTCGTCCACGCGTACAAGTCACTTCCTTTAGTCCTCTGTATCTCTCATTTATCCATGTAAAGAAATCTTTGAGAACTCCTTGTTCCATGTGGCTTGCTAGCACATCATCAACATGAAACCTGATAGTCAATTGCTTCTCGTTGACCATCATATTGGCAATGCATGGATCGTATACATTATTAGTAAACACGAATCCGTATTCTTCCAATGATGCTCTCAGATTTCGGTACCATAGCAACAAAGCCTGTAACATCCCATAAATAGCACAGAGGATCACAACATAGATCACTCAACGTCCATTTTCGATTACTACAAAATCCTGATAAGTCGGATCTAGGTCAATCATATAATCAACCAGCAGTCAAGTAATTTTCATTATTACTCGATCTTCTCCTTCCTCCTGCTTGGGCATCAGTGTTTGAATAAACGCGTTAGGTATATCCATTGACATGACGTTTCTACCTTCATGGGCATCAATCACACCCGTGCAGATAATTGCTTCATGCAAAGCTGTAGGACTTGCAGTGTCCTCACGAGACAACCAATCTCGGGTCTCATTACCTTTGAATACGCAACGTCCTTTGATTGTCACACCATCATTCTTTTTGGCCAGTAGCATCATCGCATCCACTGCCTTCTTTCTTTCAGATGGTTTTAGTTTCTCAATACTGATTGGTGTCCAGCAACTTTGCTTGATCAATTGGTCAAGTTCTTTCATGGCCGCATCTTTACCTCCCTCCTTGAATATCTTCAGTCTTTTATTCAGATAGTATTGCTGAATGAACGAGACTCCGTCTTGCCCATTGATACTACCGTTGACACCATCACGTATCTGCTGGATAACACGTGCGACTACCAAAGCTTCTGTTAGAATAAAGCAAAATGTGCTCTATCGTGAGTGCCTTTAGCGCTCAGAACAAACTCTCTGCAATCTAAATTTGTAATCGACTATACAACACTTTCACGACAATAGTTCTCCTGTGTCTAGGTATACTTTGAGTGAAATTGTTCCTATTTGATTAATGTTTGGCTTGAATTGATGATTCAATCACAAAAGTGAGTTTGACGATTTTCCCTTGGAAAATCCCTTGTTTACAGAACTTGATTTGACATCTACGGCAATTCTGTGTTGAATGCAGTACTTTGGGATATCTTGCATTATTCCCTACTGCATCGTACACAACATCAATATTCCACTTGTACAGGATCTTTTCCTGTTTGTGTGGATACAGATTGTCCGACAGACTTGCGTCCGGCATACTTGCGTGGAATCCCGACATCTTGCACGATCAAAGTCCGATCGCACGTGTCAAAAACCTCGTACTTGAATAGTTTCTTTTGGAACGTAAAAACTCATATTTCGTCATATCCCAACATCTTGCCTCAACTGTCCTTCGTCCATAATTTATCTGTTGGTCTTGCCTTTGTCGGAACCATGGTAACATGAGTAATATCAAGATATTATTAGTGTTCCATGCTGCGGTACGTAGAATCCGCAGCGAACTGAGAAGGCAGCCTGGTCTGCAGACTTTGTTCAGCATTCCAGATACATCAGATCCTACATATGCACAGTATGCTCTATACCGGTAGCTTTATTGCTGCTCGATCTTCGTTTTTCTTTTTTAAAAAATATTATTCGTACTCTAATCTAATCCTTTTCTTGTTGGATGTAGTCCAGTGGGAATGCATTAATCCACTTTGCAGCAATCAATAAGATCGTCTGCTGCGTCTACCCTTCTTTGCACTGCCCTTTCCCATTCTCTTAATTGCCTCCATTGCTAGCCTATCAACAACTGGTTTGACATCTTTGTAGTAACCAAGGCCACTTATACCCATTCTGAACACGAAGCCAGTCTTGCTTCCCTGAAATGTTTTAGCAGCAATGAAGTCCTTTCGCTCCGCCTTCTGTTTGCCGCTGGATTCTCCTGCCTTCTTCCTCTTGTTCCCTGGAGTTTCTTTTTTGACATCGTCGTTGTCGCTTGATTCTTTACGCTTTTTTTTCTTCTCGATGTCAACTTTTTTCAGAGCTTGGAGAAGAGGGCTCTTGGTTTTCTTTTTCTGAACAGCATCGTCTTTCTTGGGTGGATTTTGTTGCTTGTCTACTTTGTTCTTTTCTTTCTCCTCCGTATTCAGATCCATCTCCTGATCGATTTCGTTCATCAGTGAAGGAACCTTGCTATACACTGGAAGAGCAACACTTTCTGGAGTCTTGATTGAAATTGCTTGGACATTCGCCCATTTTCGAGGAATCTTTGGAACTGCATTCTTTGCGATTTCAGCAACATTTTCGACCAAAGCCTCAGGTTTCATTCCTGTGTGTCCACACCTGAGGAAACGAGAGAGAGAGAGAGAGAGAGAGAAGGGGGTTTAGTTGCCTCAACAAGAAAAACAAGCTGGACGAGAACGTCTTACTTGATGGTCACACATGTTCCAGCTGACAGCGTCATATAAGTTGCACTCAGCGCCTTTTGAATAGTAAACGGTAAAGCTTCTTTCCTTGTCAAATTGATTGGAATGGGTTGCTTCTTTGCCTTGAAGAAGTCTTTTCCAAGTGACTTTGTCAACATTGGCAAGATGCGATCATCAGCCATAAAAACATTGTATTTATTCAATAATTCGCGCCTTTGCTCAAACTGGGCATGCTTCTTTCGAAGAGATTGAAGTCCCAGTACCTTCTTAATGCAACCCATGTGATCTGAAAACTGCTCTATCATCTCTTGGCACCAAGGCTTCGATTCTTCCTTGACGATGAGACAGATCTCTGGATCTTCCAAGGCATCATCGCTGGTGCCATTAACCTTAAATAGAGGATGAGGAACGAGAATCCTAATGGGTTTTGGGTTAGATTTCTCCGGAGCTCGCAAGAGCGTGACCTGAACTTGCACTGGACGATTATTCCCAAGTAAGGAAAGTTTGTCGTCAGCAGTCTTTTCGTGATGGTTCAAAAGAGCATTGACAGCACGTGATACCAACGAGTTGTCAACAACTGCTGGTGCATGACGATCAGAATTTTTTTCGATGTTGCCTTTCGTCTTGGAGCTTGCCTTCTTTGCCATTTTCGAAGGATTTTTCATACGTGTTGTTGATTTCGCTGCCATAGTCTCGTTTTCTTCAAAGTTGTGTTTTCTCGAAAAAGTGAACTTTGCGTGGTTGGTTGTTCGAAAGGACGGGAGACAGCAGACCACTAGCCATGGCTATTTTAGTATCTTCAACCTACAGTAGTTCGTTCAACGCGTTCATGATTGTCTGATGCTCCCAATGGTACCAGGCACCTGAAGGATGCCCATTGGCACATCGGTCATGTCAGTGGTGTTTTCCCACATGGTGACTTCATTGGTGGACAAGGCTTCCATGAAGCAATCGTAGAGTTTGATGATATGGGGAGGGCAGTCAAGATCAAAGTCCTTGACGGCAAAGCGACTGAAGGCGTCAAAATTGGCCACCACCTTCTTGACATGTGTGATGGTGGCACAGCGGCCTTTACCGTAGAGGTGGGTCTTCTTGGCCCCCACTTTTGTTGCATGCTCACCCATTGATTCTTGTAACAGGATGGTGGCAAGGTCAGCTATGTGGGCCGCCAGTCCCTTATCATTGTGATCCAATGCGAGGAACTGTAGGAGGCTGATCTTGGTATGGAGGTCGTCGGGCCAGGAGCTGATGGATCGCTCGGTGCACAGAAAAAAGTGGATGGCGGCAATATCAGCACTTTGGATACGCTGGTAGTAGTTCCTGTTAGAATAAAGCAAAATGTGCTCTATCGTGAGTGCCTTTAGCGCTCAGAACAAACTCTCTGCAATCTAAATTCGTAATCGACTGTACAACCCTTTCACGACAATAGTTCTCCTGTGTCTAGGTATACTTTGAGTGAAATTGTTCCTATTTGATTAATGTTTGGCTTGAATTGATGATTCAATCACAAAAGTGAGTTTGACGATTTTCCCTTGGAAAATCCCTTGTTTACAGAACTCGATTCGACTTCTACGGCAATTCTGTGTTGAATGCAGTACTTTGGGATATCTTGCATAATTCCCTACTGCATCGTACACAACATCAATATTCCACTTGTACAGGATCTTTTCCTGTTTGTGTGGATACAGATTGTCCGACAGACTCGCGTCCGGCATACTTGCGTCAAATCCCGACATCTTGCACGATCAAATTCCGATCGTACGTGTCAAAAACCTCGTACTTGAATAGTTTCGTTTGGAACGTAAAAACTCATATTTCGTCATATCCCAACATGAAGCGTTCAATCAAGGGTTTTGGTGGAGAACGAGTTTGGAATGTTTTCAAGGGGACAATTATATGGAAATGGCACGACAATGAAGGGCAGCTACATTGGTTCTCAATACCAAATTCCTATTACGTTCCTCATGGCAAATGCCACCTTTTGAGTCCGCAACATTGGGCTCAGACACAATTGAGAGGACGAGTCACGCCTATGAAAAAGCTATCTGAGAACACCAAAGATGGCATTGGAGAATCTACACTCTACAATTGCTGTCAGGTATTTTGGATAGACAACAATATACGATGGATGTCTACCTTGGAGAACATGATAACGTGGCAACTTTCTATCTTGCTCCTGGATTCAAGAATTTTTATCTGTTCTGCAAAGAGTGCAAGATTGAAACGAAAAGAACAACACCGAGACATCATTCCTGCACCACTTACTTCGCCCTATCAAGAAACTTAATCCACTCAAGGCAAAGCAAACAACACCTGAACCGAGACACACTACATTTGATTTGGATGGCAAGACCACCAATGGAGAGCGACCACCGGTAGTAATTGACGAGGAGGAGGAGAAGCAGGCAACTACGCCAGCCCAAGAATTACTTCGCTATCACCACCGGATGGCACACATCTCAGTGGCAAAACTGCAAAACATGGCTAAACAAGGCATCATACCAAGACGCCTTGCCAGTGTACACCCACCTACATGCAGCTCGTGCCTCTTTGCAAAAGCAACAAGACAACAATCAAGACACAAGCATTGGACTGAGAAGACAGTTGTGAAGACACCCGGACAAGTCGTATCGGTCGATCAGTTGATCTCTCCAACTCCAGGCTTGGTAGCCCAGATGACTGGAATTCTCACAAAGAAGCGCTACACATGTGCAACCATCTACGTGGACCAATGCTCTGGTCTCGGATTTGTTTATCTTCAGAAGTCCACGAGTGCGGATGAAACAATTATGGGAAAGACAGCCTTTGAAGCCTACGCAAAACAACATGGCGCAACAATCAAGGCATACCATGCAGATAATGGAGTGTTCTGTGCAAATAAATGGGTTGATGAATGCAGAAGACTTGAGCAGACACTGACGTTTGCAGGAGTCAATGCACATCATTCAAATGGACTAGCTGAACAAAGGATTCGGTCGCTACAAGACTTGGCAAGATAGGTGGAAAATGCCTGGGATTGCTCACCTCTGGCCGTATGCAATCAGGATGGCAAATGATGCAATCAATGAAGCGCCAAACCTGAGGGATGAGAAAGGACGGTCGCCATTGCAACTCTTCAGTCAGACCGACATTCAAACCCACAACAAGCATTGGATTCCATTGGGATGTCCTGCCTATGTATTGGATCCAAAACTAGGACAAGGATTCTTGAACAAGTGGGAAGCCAGATCTCGAGTTGGAATCTACCTTGGTAGATCACCAAATCATGGAAGAAACGTTGCTCTTGTTTTGAATCAATTGACAGGCTTGGTATTGCCACAATTTCATGTCACTATTGACAAAGGATTCAATACAGTGAAGCAAGACAAGTACGATACTCACTGGCAAATGAGAGCTGGACTCCAAGTACCAAAGAAAGGAGCCATGCCTCCCTCAAATTAGTCAACCAACAAATTGAAGAGGACGATGCCAGAGCCAGAGGGAGTTACAAAACAATCAAACAAGAGAGTTAGAATGGAAACTGGAGTGTCGGAGCCGGTGCGCATCAATGATGATGACATGATTGGAAATTCTACTCCTGGAGAAACCAACAAGCTGCAGCAACCTGACAAATCTACAAGTCCAGTCCCACACAACAATGAAAGGAAGCTGGCCGCTCAGATCCACCAATGGAGGATGGAGGAGAGCGTCAACCTGAAAGCCAACAGGTGCCCAATACATCTTCAACTTCTCATCCGGCAGAGACCATATTGAAAATAATGGCGGCGGAGCTATCAAACGCCACGAAGAAATGTATTGAAGGTGAAATATTCTGCTTTGAAGCAATGTTCCCAGCTTACTCTGGAGAAGCCGAGCAGGATCCGTTGAAGATTTTCAAGGCAACCTCTGACCCTGACACGATGTACATGCATGAAGCTATGCGTGAGAAGGATGCAGGTGAATTTCAAAAGGCAATGAAGAAGGAATGGGAAGACCAACTCAAGAACGAGAACTTCTCAATCATCCATTGGACATCACTTCCAGAGGGAGCTACAATCTTTCAAACAGTATGGCAAATGAAACAAAAACGAGATATTCGAACGAGGGAAGTCAAAAAGTACAAAGCAAGATTGAACTTTGACGGGTCCAAGATGAAATATGGACGAGACTACAACCAAACATATGCACCAGTTGCAAGTTGGAACTCGATTCGAACTCTTCTGATTGTCTCTGCAATGCTTGGGTGGAAAACCAAGCAGATCGACTATGTCCTGGCATTTCCGCAAGCACCAGTTGAGAGGGAGCTCTACATGAAGCTTCCAGCTGGTTTCAAAGTTGTCGATGGAAACAGTAACGAATACATTTTAAAGTTGCATCAAAACATTTATGGAGGAAAGGCAGCAAGCCGAGTCTGGTATCAATATTTGACGAAGGTTCTCGTCGATAAATTGGAATTCAAGAAATCCAATTACGATGAATGTGTCTTTTACAAAGGAAATGTGATGTAAGTTTTGTACACAGACAACTCCATTCTTGCGGGACCCGATCAAGCCGAGATTGACCGAGTTGTGGCTGAAATTGGGGAAATCCTGGACATTACTGATGAAGGGGACATTCAAGACTTTCTTGGGGTTAACATTGAAAGGAAGCCTGACGGTTCTATACACCTCACCCAACCACATTTGATTGATCAGATTCTGAAGGACCTAAACATGCAGGAGGACACGGCGACACGACCAATCCCAGCAGCATCATCAAAGCTGTTGTCAAAACATTCTGATTCTCCAGAGTTTGATGGATCGTTTCACTACAGATCTGTCATTGGAAAATTAAACTACCTGGAGAAGGGTTCAAGGCCGGACATCGCTTATATTGTTCACCAGTGTGCAAGGTTCAGTACATGCCCAAAGAAGGAGCATGGCAAGGCAGTACGATGGTTGGCGCGATATCTCAAGGGCATAAAAGACAAAGGATTGATTCTACGGCCTGATAGAACGAAAGGATTGGAGGTCTACGTCAATGCTGACTTTGCTGGAAATTGGGATCCCAAAGAATATGAGGATTGCAATACAGCAAGATCAAGGCATGGCTACTTCATCAATTTCGCAGGTTGTCCTATCCTCTGGAAGTCGCAGCTGCAAACTGAGATTGCGTTATCATCAACAGAGTCAGAATATACTGGAATCTCTTACTCACTTCGTGAAGCAATACCCATCATGAACCTTTTCAAGGAGATGATGATCAAGTATGAAATCCCAATTGAAAGCCCAATTGCAGAGGTACACTACAGAGTATTTGAAGACAATACCGGAACTCTGGAAATTGCTAGAGTGCATAAGTTTCAACCAAGAACAAAGCACCTAGACTGCAGGCTACATCATTTCAGGTCATACATTGGTAATGGGATTACTATTCACAAGATAGATGCAAAAGAGCAACCAGCTGACGTGTTGAGAAACCTTTGAACGCTGAGCTACTCATCAAGTTCAGAAAGATGATCATGGGTTGATAGGAAGATCATCGATTTGATCAAAAGAGGGAGTGAACGAATACCAGGGATTCTGAGTTCTGAGATTTGATCGAATCAACTGAATGTCTGAGTGATCGAGTGAGTTGGATTCGGTGAGAAAACTCAACACGAATCCAACTCCAAATAAGTGATCAGATCAGAGGAAGTTGTCAGCGTAGAAGCTACGGCTATCACGCTACATCTCCAACATTCTATAACTAACAATCCAGCGGGATTGGTTGGAGTTGGTTCAGATCAGATCAGACGAATGTAGCACGACTAAAAGAAGTTTGAGTCTTCAAACTGCTCACAATATTTTAAAATCGATTTTCAAACGAATCTATATTCAACCCCAAATTGACAACGCCCCAAAACCTAGTTTGAGCCTTATCAACGTGGTTTTGTTACACACGTCTTGTGTGATTCGCATACTTTCATCGACATAAAACGTCTGCAATAAGGAGAAGGAAAGTAAGAAAAGAGAATACAAGTGGCCAGTCAGCACATTGAATCAATCGATCAATCAGTCAACTAATCAAATCATCTTCATGACTACTCTATACCGTACTAGTAGTACGTACTACCTGCATGGCAATCACTGGAACGTCCCCTCGAATCGTCCTGTAGACTTCTCCCACTGGAATTTCCATATTCAATTCTTCCTCCATGAGTTGATTCAATAGTGGAATGTTGGATCCCTTTACTTTGGTGCCTTGGAGTCGCAATTCCATTTTTTGGTCGGACACAATTTGGAGGGAGGCGGTCGTCACTACGGTTCCCTTGATTTTGAAGGGCAATCCGGGTAGGACGCCCACTTCCAAATCCAATTCGTTGATCAATTCGTTGGAACTCAAAATTTGTTTCACCCGGCCAATTCGAGACCCAGAAGTCGCCCGATCGTGCAAGGTAAATCCATTTTCGGCCATTTGCTTGTTGTCATCGCCGACCGCCATGCGAATGGCTTGAAAAAACGGACTGGATCGAAAGAGTTGGGTACTGGAATAACACAAATCCCATTCGCCCTCGCAATGATAGGCAGGATTGGCCGTAGGATTCAAGGCTTCCAATTGAGAGACTAGATCCAAGACTATAGTCCAGCTTCTTTTAAAGTAGAGAATGATCTAATATTTTATCCAAGAAAAGGCCAGTCTTGGCCGAAGCTATTGAAGTGAAAGTAGCTTTCGCCGAGGCTTCATCAGCGGTAAGACAAGTGTGGCAAGAGGCAAGAGCATGGGAAATTTCAAGTTTGCGATAAAACAGAGCAAGCCGATGTGGATAATTTGCCGTTTGCAACTATAATTCTCGTGATTGTAACGGGACCATGTGGAACACATGGTGGTTTGAAAGTTTACGGGCCAGAAGGATTTGATGTTTACGCTTCACGCCCGATAACGGTAGGAGAAGAACTCTTCTTTTTGTAGTGTATCACAACTCTTCCAATGATAATGAATGCGATGACGACTGCGCCTCAAGCCAAGCCTATTGGGGAACTCCGGAAGTCTTGCGAGACTTTGGTATGGTTGAACCTCTTCCGCACACTTTCTATTTGGGTGACACTATGACTTTTGTCATTTGGAATGCCACCTTGGGAACTAAAGAGCCCGCACTTGACAATTTGAGCATCGAATACATGAACAACAACTATCCTTCTTTTCAAACCATTGACAAAGCCAGCAAGTCTACCAAACTGAAATTTCAAAAGCTGACACGAAAAAGACTGCTCCATACAAACTCTACATGAAAGCACAATATTACAAGGCACTCTTGAATGCATTCAAAAAATTATTACAACATTCGATCCGCAAATGGCAGTCTAATGGAAAGGAGCAAAAGATGAATCAATTTTATTTTGTATAGCCGAAACAACATTGAAGCCATTGAGCCATCCGTTGGAATCACAATCCAGTTGGGCAGAAGGTGCATGGCAAATTTTCAGCTGAGTCCCCCATCCATTCACAATTCCAAGGAAATGCGACGATCATCTTCCTGTTATACTGGACAATGTCCATCCCGGATGCAAAAATGTCTGGGGACGACTTCAGTGGCCTAGTTGATGCAGAGACCATACTCTTTTGCAACTCCAGGGCAAAGGCTGCAAGTGTGATTTTAAAGCGATGAATGCTAGTCACCACATCGACTCAGAGTGCCTTGGGCCTGTGATTAGCCATGTGAGAAGAGGTTTAGAATTTGAATTGTGGAACAAGAACAAGACGCCATACACTCGCAAGATTTGTTTATCCACTTACCGATTTAACTTACAACGGTATTATGTATCAATAGAGTACAAAAACAAAATCACGGTCCATGTCATGTCAAAATGTCCATGGAAAGGCAATTTGATAGCTATCCTTTGCTTCCATCTCTTTCTTCTGTATCATCTTGAATCATCGAGAAGATGAGATTTCATTCTTACCACCAGCTGACATTTGGCATTGCTCGGATTCATTCCACGTCAGTATTGGTTGGTACCTACCTGCGTAGTATTATTTCTCCTTGACCTCTTGAGCAGACGTCTCTCCTCCGGCAAAATGCCAGAACCATCAGTACTGTACTGTATCTTTTGTTGATGTAGATTGTTGGAGAATGACCAGAAGCCAGCCAGGCATCGAATCTTGGATCCTGGTAGTTTCCGTGGTAGTAGGTATGTACCCATAGCTAGTGAGTCCGGTGTCAAAAATCCAATCTTTCGGAAACGAGATGACCGAAAACAAAATGAAAGCACCTTTGTTGAATTGAACACGTGTGTAAGGTAAAGATGGTAACAGTCACTATCGTATTACGTTGTTGTTGTCGGATTCCTTTAAATTGTGATGTGGATAATTGCAAACGGATCGTGAACGTGTTCGCATGTCGAACTCGTTCGTCACGAATATATATACATTACTTATTGGCCGTGCATGATAGAGAACAAGCTGAACATCTGCTTCTGTCTACCTCTGACTCATCATGTGACATCTACGACATGCCTGACATCAAAACAATGTTGCTGAATTTGCAGTACTAAAAGTACGACGTGGTACAGAGCGCAAAAAACCCGAAATCTTTCGGGAAGATCTTCTTTCCAAGATCTCTTTTTTATCTTGTTTGTTCGTTTGCTTACAGGATTGTAATGAAGTTTGCTGCCTCAACTGTTGCCTACCTTGCTCTTGCAAGTCTTAGTTTCCTCCATGCTGATGCATCGGAGAGAGCTCACCAGCACCTGCGTACCCATGTCGAGGAACGCGAGGTTGCCCATCGTTTCCCATCGCACCAAACCCAGGGTGAAGGAGATGGTTCCCCTCATGTGAGGGAAAAGAACCATTCTGCCGGGAGGTATGAGGATTATCCTGATCCTGATTACAAGGATCGTGGGTATGAAGAGGGTCCCGATCCTAGGTATGAAGATGGTCCTGATCCTAGATACGAGGATCGTGGGTACGAGGATCCTGACCCTAGATACGAGGATCCTGATCCTAGATACGAGGATCGTCCTGAGCCAAGATCTGAGGTTTATCCCGAACCAAGATACGAAGATGCTCCAGTTGCACGAGAGGCCAACCCGGACGGATCTTGTCCCTTCATTGAAGCAATTGCAGAATTTACTGACGTTGAAATCCCACAGGTAACAAATAGCGACGAGAAGGAACTCCTTGTGATCCCTATGCCAAATGGTATAGGGGGAGAGGATATCAACATCATTGATTTCCTTAATGACAAGTTGAAGGATGATGCAATTCTTCCTGTGATCAAACCAGGTGACGAAGTGCCCAACAGTTCTACTAATATGGTTTGCAAACATATTGACTACATCGATGAAAGTGTCGATGTGCTTGTTGCTGGCATTCCAGCAGGAACAAAAGGCCTTTGTTTAGCTTTCAATCCCTGTGAACAAATCTATGCTGTATCGGCAGGTAAGATTTCCGCCATGTGATCTAGAACTAGCCATCATTATCTCACCATTCTGTACGTTCTTCCAATCAGGATTTGTCAAAGTAGACATTCCGCTCACAAATCCTCTTCTTAAGCTTGGCTTCACGTTGAACACAATTGGTGAGCATAAGATCTATCTTCTTTTGAATTTTCTGCTCACAACTCTGACCTGTACCTTATATTGTCAACAGGAATTTCGATCAACAAGGACTTCACTATTGAGACCCACAATGAAATGTGGGATGGGGGCTCCATGGATGCTGTGTCGAAGGTGGATGGACATTTTGCCCTCAAAGGAACTCTCAGTCTCAAGTTTGGTGAAGAAGATTCGGTCAGTTTCCATGCTTTACTATTTCAGAGTTTATGCTTGCCTGTCTCCTAACTACCTGTTCGCTTCATGTTTTGTTTTTATTCTTCGCCAGATTTTTGAATTTTCCGTGAATGGGAGAGCGAGAATCTTTGTTGATGTTGATCCTGCCAATGATAACACTCATCTTACAGCTTTCGAACACATGGTAGGTAACATGAGAATGAAGATTATCACTATTATATAATTCTAACCGTCTTGACTGTTTCTACCAGGATGACTTTGAAATGGTCATATCTGGCCTAATTTTTCCGAAGATTGTCATTGGCAAATTCCCATTAGTTCTCACCTTCAATTTCTCCAAGGTCCTAAACGCTGCAATTGACATCCACCTCCTTGTTGACGAGCAGAATACCCAGCTTGAATTCGCTGCATCCGTCAACACTGATTTGATGAACATTTGTGAAGTTTCTCCTGCCACCAAGTTCCTCTGCAAGTATTTTGAACAAGCTAGTGCGGGTCTCAGCCTCCAAGTTCAATCTTTTGTAAATATCAATCAAGAATTCGGGCTTCGGTTTGCCATTAGTGGTGAACTTGACGCTCCTGAATTCATGGACATTGCTTTCAAACAGCTATTCCCCAAGTGGCCAGCCGACGGGCATGCTTTTGATCTCTCTATTTGGTTTGAGCTCAATGCCGACCAAGAAATCGAGACGTGTGTTGATGCAGGCTTAGGACCAATGTGCTTCACCCCCAAGTGCCTCAATAACGACGACTGTGGTGGAGATCAGATCTGCCATCTGTTCAAATGTCAGGCAAAGTTGCCAGACGGAACGGTTGGCTGCTTCAGTGATTACGACTGTCAGAACTTTTGCAATGGAGGAATCTGTACAGGAAAGCTTGACAATGGTCAAATGTGCAACTGGGAAGACATTCGATGCAAAAGCGATCATTGTGTTGGTAACATTTGCCGCGAGTGCGCAAAGCATTCCGATTGTCCATCTGGTGAGGTAAGGGCATTGATTGTTCAGTGATAGAACGTCCATGAATTTTTTCCAACAATTCACCATTGTCCTTCCCTTTGATCATTAACATTGTAGGCCTGCCGAGGTACTCCTTTGCAATGCAGAGAGCTACATGATAACGGCTCCATGTGTAACTGGGATGATAACAACTGTGCCAGTGGGCATTGTGTTAGTAACATTTGCCGCGAGTGCGCAAAGCATTCCGATTGTCCATCTGGTGAGGTAAGGACATTGATTGTTCAGTGATAGAACGTCCATGAATTTTTTCCAACAATTCACCATTTCACTTCATTTTTGCTTTTATCATAGAGCTGCCGAGGTACTCCTTTGCAATGCAGAGAGCTACATGATAACGGCTCTATGTGTAACTGGGATGATAACAACTGTGCCAGTGGGCATTGTGTTAGTAACATTTGCCGCGAGTGCGCAAAGCATTCCGATTGTCCATCTGGTGAGGTAAGGACATTGATTGTTCAGTGATAGAATGGCCACGAATTTTTTTCAACAATTCACCATTGTTCTTCCCTTTGATCATTAACATTGTAGGCCTGCCGAGGTACTCCTTTGCAATGCAGAGAGTCAAAAAATATTGGGGAGATGTGTAATTGGGATGATAATGTTTGTGCCAGTGGACATTGTGTTGGTAACCTTTGCGCAGAGTGCGACGGTAGTAATAGCCACTGCAAGTCTTGGCAGTGGTGCGACGGAAACAAATGCAGATCGAAAGGCAATGATGGGTATTGGTGTTATGGTGAGAACGCCAGGTGCCACAGTAATTCCTGCAAATGGGAAAAGGATGGATTTTGGGATCCTGGTCATTACGGATGTCAAGGAAACTAGATCCCCGCCTTTCCTACTGTGTGAATCGCAGACTTGTCATATTCCCAGAGCTGCAGAACCGATGTATAAGGCTGCAAGAGAGCGAGATGTCAAGACTCATTTCCGCGTGAGTTCCCATAATTGCTCTTTAAGCACCAATGTATCATCTCTATTTCCGTTGTTTGAATTCAATATATCTAGTCACACGGTGATCTTTTGCGGTAGGGGTGACAAGTACAGTGGCTATGCATCATTCCTGACCATATAATAACCATCTTTTGCAGTTATGTCATTAAGAGCATCACCATAGCCTCGAATGAATCGCAATCAGGCTTTTTGCCATGCGCGGGGGGAGGGGGCACTGGTATAAATGCTATTTAGGAGCTCACCTAGAGTATTGTCGTCAATAGATATAACGATAGTAAAGATGTCTGAAAACGATAACAGAAATTATGAATGATGTGTGAATAATGATGGAAATCGATATGTCCGCATGGTTAAACGGTCCCCGTGAGACGATACATCTATGAATCGTATCACACCACTATTAACTATACTAAATGCGATAGCTCCAACAACGAAAGTGGAACATGCGCAGATCGACCCATCTTTGTCCACCGTGAATACGGCGTGGGAAGTCCCTGTAAGGACTCGGATCTAACCGTCAATAAATAATCCTTGTAAACATCTGACGCTTCTTCACAGCATTGTGAACCTTTGTAAACAAATCTGCATGATTGTCCTCAGTGTTTTCCTTCGATACCAGCATGATTCCAGCAGCAACAGCCTCGCGACAAGCATGGTAGTTGATCGAATTGTGCTTCTTGGTAAGAGTAGATGTTGGGTTAGTTGTATTGGCCACAACGCCAGCATTGTCACAATGGACGATTGCAGGTCCGCATCCTCTGCACCGTTAGGACCAATAATACGACAGTCCGCCGTAAGAGAAGTCTGAAACGCGACCAAAAAAGACATGCCACATCACCAATAATAAAATACTAGAAAAAGTTGAACCATATATTTTCCTTGCAACAACAACCACAACCGATATTCCATTTCCTGCTCGTTCCACTGCATCTCTTAGGAACTTGAGTATTCCGAAATGTGCATCATCGTAGTCACTTGATTGCTGTAGGAATAGTATGAATGAGAAACCCATTGATGCGACGACTACTGTGGACGACGATGATACTACTAGTACCGATAAGAACACGAAGAATGACCACCAATCATTATTATTCAAATGTCCACTCTGTGATGAAGCTCCTGTCATTAATGAGACATGCCCCGGTTCCTGTGGCAGTTTGGAAGGAATGATGGTCTATGATCCACAACAACAGCAACAACAACGCAAGAAGAGTAGTCGCACCTTTGGATTCGATTGGGCCAATGGCTATGTGGCCCCCTTTTTGGGCATTCATCGGTCCGCCGTGAAAGAAGCATTGGAGGCTGCTGACATTGCAGGCAACGATACCATGGTCGATTTGGGATGTGGGGATGGTCGAATTTGTCACCTGGCATGGGCCATGGGTGCTGCCCGAGCCGTGGGATACGATTTGGACGAGTCCTTGATTGCCATTGCCAAAAGTGAAAGGGAAGGAATACTGGATACTGAAACTAATGTTAGTCACTTGGACATGAGGAATACTTCCAAAGAAGAAAGAGAAGTGTCCAGAACGGCATCCTTTCATATTGCAAATCTATTTGAGGTGGACTTGGAACCATTTTCCATCATTACCATGTTTCTATTGCCGGAAACGACCGACAAGCTTGTTCCCACACTTTCTCAAGCACTTCGATCAAAGAAATTGAATGTAAGAATCATTGCCTTTGGATGGCCCATTCCAGGATTGGGCAATGCAGCGGCCAAGTACACCAACAAGACTGGGAGTCTTCTGGACAAGTGGTATCTATATACCAATACTACTCTACCAGGTACCAATCCTCCTAAATTTGTTCAGCGAGTTAATATCAAGGAGGAAGAGGCTGTCATGTAATGATAAGAATAACGCTATTCATTGCTAGTACTCTATAATTTATTACTTTTTTGTTTGGCTAGCTTAGCATTGCTTTTCTTTTTCCTATGGTCGAGTATAGACAAAAATGTTCTCGTCCACGTCTCGTGTGATTCGCATACTTTCATCGACATAAAACGTCTGCAATAAGGAGAAGGAAAGTAAAAAAAGAGAATACAAATGGCCAGTCAGCACATTGAATCAATCGATCAATCAGTCAACTAATCAAATCATCTTCATGACTACTCTATACCGTACTTGTAGTACGTACCTGCATGGCAATCACTGGAACGTCCCCTCGAATCGTCTTGTAGACTTCTCCCACTGGAATTTCCATATTCAATTCTTCCTCCATGAGTTGATTCAATAGTGGAATGTTGGATCCCTTTACTTTGGTGCCTTGGAGTCGCAATTCCATTTTTTGGTCGGACACAATTTGGAGGGAGGCGGTCGTCACTACGGTTCCCTTGATTTTGAAGGGCAATCCGGGTAGGACGCCCACTTCCAAATCCAATTCGTTGATCAATTCGTTGGAACTCAAAATTTGTTTCACCCGGCCAATTCGAGACCCAGAAGTCGCCCGATCGTGCAAGGTAAATCCATTTTCGGCCATTTGCTTGTTGTCATCGCCGACCGCCATGCGAATGGCTTGAAAAAACGGACTGGATCGAAAGAGTTGGGTACTGGAATAACACAAATCCCATTCGCCCTCGCAATGATAGGCAGGATTGGCCGTAGGATTCAAGGCTTCCAATTGAGAGACTAGATCCAAGACTAGTCCAGCTTCGTCCTTGTTGGTAAACAAACCTCGATTGGTAACACTGGCCAACAATAATAATTCTCGTTTCAAGGCATCTCGGATTTTGACATCTTCTTCCTTGTCATCGACCACCACAGACTTTTTTGGTAGAATGTCTTCGGCATCGTAATCAGAAGGTCCAGTACCATCGGGAAAGTCTCTTAAAATGATGAGATTGTGATTGGAAGATGGTGATGGTGATGGTGATGTGAGGAACCCAGAGATGCTGGTTGTCAGCAGGAGTAATAGTGAACAAATTGCTGTACATTTCATCATCATCATCATCATTATTACAATTGGAGATGCTTGGTGTTACGTTGTCTTTCTACTGCACTGCCGGTGATAGTGGCTAAGATGGAAGAGATACCGGTACGTGGAGGAGACCGAGGCGATGATATGTTGAAGGTTCTCATTGCATGCTTCAAGCCAAAAATCTTTCGTATGAGTCAGTCCCCTTCTTTTTCCCCGGGGATGCCAACATTTGGGGGCAGTTCGAGCATGGAGATGCCAAATCATTTTGGATCTTTCACTGTATATTCTCGTCCGACTTGGAACCGCAGATGGGCATGATCACCGCCACAACAACAAGGACAACACGGTCAACTCGCATTACCGCTACTACATTGTTACCGCTCCTTGCTGCCACGTGTTCTAGTTTGGCCCTCTTTTCACCTCCAACAAGGAGTTGTCGAGTTGCCACTCCTCCTCATCATTGTGGATTCTGTGCTCCGTCTTCTCCTCGTCGTCCTCTTTTGTCCACTATCACCTGGATTGGTGCCAGACAACAATTCACGACCATGTCTCTCGCAATGACAGATAACGATGAAAATGATGATTTGTCCGCGCAAGAAAACACTCTTTCATTGGCTACAAACGAAACAACCAGTAGTTCAGCTCTTGCTGCTAAAGAAATATCACCACTACCCATGCAACCCAAAAAGTTGCACTCGGTCACCGTCTGCATGGTACCTCCACCTGAAAATGAACATGTTTGGGAACAAGTATCGGAAATGAGACGGACCCTCCAAGATCCAGGCTATTATCGGTGGCCACCCCATGCCAATCTGCTCTATCCATTTTTGGAGTTGGGCAATTATAAGAAGGATCCAGAATCCAGGCAAACCAACTTGAACGTAATTGTGGAAAAATTACAAACGGCAATGCGGAAGTGTCCTCCCTTTTGGATCCAATTGAAACAATTTGGAACTTTTGGAGGAAAACAACGCGGAGTACTCTGGTTGGATCCGGAATCCTTTCCCATGAACGAAGATGCGACTGGTACGATCGAAGAGTCGTCGAAGAATGGTGTTGCACCCCTGATTCAACTACAGTCACTACTGGAAGAAGCCTTTCCTAGTTGTCAAGCACAATCTCAGAAGAATAGCAGTGGATTTGTACCGCACATGACACTCTCCCATTTTGAAAACTTGGAGGCTGCCAAGGCAGCGCAAGAGTTGATTTCGCCCATTCCCACCCAGTTGGAATTTGTGTTGGATCGGATCTATCTGTTGGAGCGCCTGGGAGATGATGGACAATTTCTGCGGGTCGCCGAGATTGGATTGGGAGAAGAATCCTCCTCCAAAGTGACTGCCATTTTCGATCCACCATCCCCCTTTCCAGGCATGCCCGCAGACGAAGAAGATTGGGTCCATGAGGAACGCATGAAGCTCAAATCCAGGCGGAATGGCAAAGGACGAAAAACGAGAGGAAAGCAACAACGCCGACGACGATCGTGGAATCCAAGAGTACCGGATACCCCCGAAATGATTGCGGCCAAACGAGCGGAACGCAAGGCCAAGCGAGAGCGACTGGAACGAGAACAACAACAAGAAGAAGAACAAGCAGCAACGGGGGAAGCATAAAATCTTAGCCACCAAAGAAGGAGTAGACTACCCTCCGTATTCTTTCGATTGGTTATGTTTTTAAAACTACCTACCTAATGCGCCCATCATAATTCGATTTGGGGACCAATCGAGGGTTCGACACATTTCGACTCCACGATGGCGGAAGTGGCCGTTCGGAAAAGAGTTGATGGATCAGTTCTCGTTTGGCATCGTTGGTCCACCCACTAGCATACGTGCGGCTTTTGGTAATGGCCTGGAGAAAGGTAGTGCTCACCAAGCCATCTTCGCTGCAGTCGGCCAACATGTTTTCAACAAAAAGGGTACGTTCGTCGTCGTCTTTTGGGCCTGACAAGGCATCGAGGCCGACTTCGAGCAACAAGCAATATGGATGACTGTCGTATTGAAATCTCGAATTTCTCATGGCCTCAAAGGTTTCTGTGGCCAACTTGAGCGTCTCTCTTCGCCTGCGAGCACATTTGGTGGCACACCGTAAAACTCCCAAATAAAGTTCTGGAGATGTGGACAAATTCTGTTCGTTTTCTACTTGTTGCAAACTCTGCAACCATTCAATGGCCCGCTGGAGGGCAGCTATCCGATCTTCCACCTTTCGTTCCTTCTTGGCCTTGTGTAGCCAGGTCCGAATTACAATAGCAAATGATTCCGAATTAGGACACAAATCCATTTCCTTTTGTTCCTTGTATTTGTCTCCCAATGTTAGTAAAAGAGTTTCGGCTGCCTTAGCCCCATCCGTCTTTGCGAGTGCCCGCATAACAATGTTGTAGGTAGTTTTGGTAGGAAGGAGGGCGGCGTTGCTGTCTACCTCCGCATCATTCCAGAGTCGTTTGAGCCACCAATTCGCTCGTTTTCCAGCATTGGGATGCTTCGAATTGGCCCATGCGGACATGACCTGTAGAGTAACAGAAATGAGAAGATCCGATGCCCAATTTTTAGTACTACTGCAACTACCTTCAAGCACAAAATAACAAAAATACTATCGTACCTTTTCAAAGGATATTCGATCGGGAGCTCGGTCCGCAAAACCATTGTCTTTCTGTGAAATCATAGTTCGTAATATTGCCTCCGCCCTAAAGGGTGCATCCTCGTGTCCATACGCCGCAATGGCGGCCCAACCAGTAATCAGAATGTTGTAAGGGACAGCAGTAGGCACCACACCCTTGACTCCAGCATCTTGCAAGTCGTGCATGTACTTGAGAATCGAATGGGCCTCTTCCAATTCACTAATTCCATTCATGGAAGGATCGCTGGTAAAACCGTGCCCTTCATAACAGTATCGAGCCTTCATTTTTGCCACTGACCCAAATGCATCAATGGCCATGGAATATGAACGTGTATCTGGAAGCACCCGAGACGATGTTGGGTTCTCTCGTTGATAGGACTCCATCAATCGTAGCAGTGCCAGTACTTTCGTGGCAATAATGGTATCGTGCTTGCATCGAGTCCATCCCCGAATGACAAAGTTGAAAGTTTCAGTGTTGGGTATTACTGTAGCGGCCTCGCCAAAGTGATGAAATTCCGAATGCAAGCGCCTCAGGATTCCTTCCGCTTGTGCGGCATTCGATTGAACAATAGTTTGATTGCGCTTGTTGGATCCTGACCTACCTCGAGTCAAGGCATCCAAAAAGGCATTGTAGCATTCAATGGTGGGTCGTATACGTTCCGGTGCATTTTCACTTTCGGCAACCAGCTCATTCAACCATCGTTCAGATCGATTGACAACCACCAAAATATTTTCCTTGTTGGCATTGGCCCAGGCTTGAATGGCAGCCTGGTAACATTCAGGAGTTGGATGTAAAGCGGAGTGTCTTTTGAGTTGACTCATCACATGTTCGGCCCGTCGCGGGGCTCCCGTATCATCAAGGTCGGGAGCCGCTAGCGCGTTCAACACAATCAAAAAGGCTTGGACGTCCAGATCTTGTGGTTGAGATTTCAGCATGGCTTGCAACCAAGATTCTTTTTCTTTGACTGTTGCATCCTTTAAGAAGTCCTGTTGATGCCACTCCTTGTCGTCCCATCCTCGCGTAAATACTGAGGCATGCCATCGAACAGGATTTGAGGACAACAATGGAGTGGTTGGTTTCCAAGGGGCGTGCCTCTTTCTTCCGCCTATTGAAGATGACGACGATGGCGGCAATTGGCTACCACTGACACAACGAAGGTATGACCTACTCCGTCGGGTGCCATGTAGATAGGTGCGATGTGATGATATTGCACTAACATGGCGAAGCATTGTCGACGACATCGCCTATCAGCTTCTCGATCCTGCGTTTTGAAAACTTTTTGTGTCTTGTGTTTGTTTTGAATGTCACGGGCGACGGGCGGAAGGACCTGTGTTAAAAATCGACTACACCGACTGAGAAGAGCTGAATTTTTGAAATGAGCAGCCGTTCATCATCTCCACTGCGCAGTGACTCTGATAATGGCAACCACTAGAGAAGAGGATAGTAAATGGGTCACCGTGGGCCCCAGTGACGCCCAGGTGGACATTCCAAGAGATATCACACACGTGACTCTGCAACCCGAAACGGATCTAATAGAAAAGTATGGCTTCTATGGATGTGAAGCCTTGGTAGAAGTTGATGCTCCTCTCACGTCAAGGCTACGCATCATTCGAAGCCAGGCTTTCTATAATTGTATCAAGCTGAAAAGAATTGCAATTCCAAAGACAGTCAATCAGATCAACAGCCATGCCTTCTTTTGGTGCGAATCGCTGACCAGTATTTCACTGGTCCAAACCCAACTGAAAACCATTGGAGGCTACGCCTTCGCCTATTGCTTGTCGCTAAAGGAGATATTGCTGCCTGCTACCATCAAGGTGATTGAAACTTGTGCCTTCTTCGACTGCAAGCAGCTGATCAATGTGGAATTTCCTGAAGGTTTGGAAGTTATCATGGACAATGCCTTTAAAATGTGCAACTCGTTGGAGATAGTTCACATTCCTTCGACAGTGACCAAGATTGGGCAGCGAGCCTTTACCAACTGCTCCAAAATTCAAACGGTAGAGATTGCATTGGAAAGATCCCTGCTCCGCGAGATCAACGCAGCTGCCTTTCGCGGCTGTTACGAACTCCAAAATATTGCCATTCCCAGCGATACCTTGGTGCAGAGCGATACCTTTCGATTGTGCCCCCAGCTGGCCGAGAACCTGGCCGGTAATTTGCCACCTGATTATGACGAAGCCATGACGGAGTTTCTCAAGCATCGCTTCGATGACCTGCCGCTGCACAAACTCTGCTATTCAATTTCCTATGAGAGCCAAGAAATTATTGCCGAAAAGATTGAACACCTGCTACTGACAAATGATAAAGCTTGTTGGTACAAAGAATATGACGCTCTGAGAAAAACACCTGGACATCTTCTCGCACTAGCATCCAATTGCACTCAAGATAGTGATTTCCACAATGGCGTTCTCACCATACTGTATTCCAAGCCCATACAATCATTGGGCCTTGAAGACTGGCGATCCGCCTTGCGATCAGTGATAGTGGACTACACGAATACATTGACTCGAGAGGACAGAATTTTTCGAATTGATGAAATAATATCCATGTTCGAGTCTCTCGAGCTGATGGAGGCTACATCGCTTTTGGAACTGGCACTATGGAAGGCCAAGATGAAATCCTGGAGAGAAGACAACCCAAACACGAATGATGCTAGTCTCGATGATCCGGAACTACGAAAAGAATGCTTTGTGCAATGTGGTTCTCATACAATCATCAATAGTATCCTCCCATTTGTCAAGCAGAATCGAGCTCCCATGGTGCCATTTTTCAGCAATAATGGAGACAATGATGATTCAATCAGCAATGAAACTGCCATCAGTTGGTGATATCGAAACAAAGAATGATGGATACTAGAAAGACTATGAAGCACGGTAGATGGACTAAATAGGTACTATGGGTGCAGAGTCCCGGTGCTACATGCTATATCTCCTTGCTTGTGACGCCAGTGACCTTCGTTGTCGCCTTTCTGCATAAGGATGTAATGGAATAGCAGTGATGCCTTGCACTTGTTCTTTACTACATGCATCGACTCCTGCCAAAGGCATTGTGACAGAAATTGGCGCCAAATTGTCATCTTCTATGAATCCAGCAAAGGCCGCAATGTGACGCAAGCGTCCTTTCCTCCTTTTGATGAGTTGCTAATCTTATCACGGAAGTATCGAATGGGGTCCAGCTTTTCATCACATTCATTATCGTGTATCGCATCTGTGGATGATGTGGCCAGTTGCCATGACTCTCCTGAAGCAAACTTGCACTGATGGCAGTTGTAATCCGCGACTTTGGACTGGCAGTTGAAACAATGTCTTTCTTTGCGCTGGAAATCAGGTCTGGAGAGCACCTCATGCAAGAACAACACTCACGGTCGCAATATGCAGTTTAGTAGCTTTCCAAAAAATAATAAATTGATTTGTTGCAGCTGCAGCAATGTTCGGCATCGGTGGTTGCTTTCTTCATGTCGCAATTCGACACTAGCTGTGCGTTGGATGTTTTCCGTCTCTAGTCTGTTTGGTAGCTTGATTTCTTGCCCCATCCCTATTCCTGGACTGCACCACTTCTACAGTATCTCATCAGCCAGGTTTTACCATATACATGTACGGTTTGTTATTCGTACATAAATCACTTCAAACAAACGGCAGATGATATTCGCTGTGTGATCAAAGTCGTGCTGCGCGCGTGGTTCAATCGGAACGGACGGAGCGTTCCACTATAAATGTAGTGAGTTATTCCGAGAACATGACCATCTGCTCGCTATAATTGTCCAAATTCGTGGCCGTATCATTTGAGAGCGCTTGAGAGCGCTTGAGAACTTTGCGAAAAAAGCGAAGGGTGGACATGAGGAATAGAGGTCATGAAGTACATAAAGATCAATGCAGTATGCAATATCTTTGATCACCCCACTTCTGAATGACTTGTTGACTCATTGAAAAACTTTCAACTGTCAGTTTCCTTTTGGTGTCACAAGTTTATAATCCCATGAAACCACAGTCCGCCATGACAACCACACTCAAGAGAGGAGTTACCATCAACCCAGCTGTCCAAGCTGTAGAGATCTTGAGCATTTATGATTATACCCCCAGCGAGATCTCAGCTACGTGGTATGATGAAGACGACAGGCAAAAAATCACCCAACACTGCTTTAAAGTACTGCAAAAAATGGAAAAATGTGGAGGGACCAAGAACGGCCAAAAGTATTGCACTCGAGGTCTTGAAGCACATACAACGCTGGGGTCCATTATTAAAAAGAAAACAAGAACAGCTGCGTTCGCAGCAGTACTGAATGAGCAAGCAAGGCAATGGAACGAGAACGAACAAGTCGATGATCGAGCCATTTCAGAAGCATACAGAGAAACTAGCTCCAGCAGCCAAATGTGGGCTCAAGCTATTGGTAACCAAGACCGAAAAGACGCAGATGCTTATCTCTACGCCGATGAAGAGGAGATCGAAAATGTCGATTCGACTACTACAGGAGCAGTTTCAATGATCAAGTCTGCAGAGGAGTCTGTTTTGAAAAGCCCTTTCAGCCAAAAACGAACACTGAATGTGAACAGCGCAGCTGTTATCATGGTCCATCGAGGTGCAAGGGCGGCATGACGAGTACTACCAACTCATTAAAAACCATTTTGAGACATTAATACGTCGTAGCACACTATATCATTCTATTTTACTGTACCGTAAGATACCTGGCGGCAAGAGTTTCTGCACGAAAAGTCATTTCCGTCAGAATCTTATTGTACCACGCCGGCACGTACCTATCAGTATCTCCGAAGAAAGCTTGAGGACACGTTGGTACCACATGGTCCCAGTTACCTGGTACCGTACGTACCTTCAACCCCTCTGATCATCCTTGCTCTGATCACCTTCGTCGATCCCTTCGAGCCAATCAGTTGCTTTGCTTTGGCAATCACAATGCACGGTGCTGGAACTTAGAGTCATTTCCGTTCTCTATCTCTGAAACGTCGGTAGGAACACATGAAATGCGCAAATTTTTGACTGAACCACTCTTCCAATCGTCGCGTTGACTCATTTGTGGTTAAGGGAGAAACAAGAAGAAGGAATGGAAGTATACTAGAAACTATAGAGTACCTACATAGTACGGTGTCGAAGATAGCCGATTTGCGCCTTTCGCTTGTGCGCTCGTATTGGTGTTTTTCCATATTCAAAGAAACAGATATTATGAATGACTTACTCTAACCTAAAACGTAGACGAAAGATCGAGAACGAATCATTGGACTTGATTGGATCATAAAAGTAAGGTTGGATTCTATCATTCTACTGACGACGGTCTGACGGCCTTCAAGTAACAACTGTTAGCCCAAATCAAGGCCCAAACCAAGTCTACCGGTACAATCTACAAGACACCAGTCTCGATCCACTGGGCTACTGTGATCTGAAATCTGCAGACCCCGGAGCGTGTGTGTAGACTTCTTAGAATAGTGGAGCACTCGAACATCGCACAACGAATCCGAGCAATCCGCAGGCTCAGATGTAGTATAAATCCGTGCGTGAAGGAATATCATCAATATCACCATAATATGACTCGATGGTCAAGTCTATTTGTTACATTATATTGCGGCAAAAGCGGTACTGGGTACTCATTCTAGTGCTATGTGCTATATCTCCTTGCTTGTGCTGACTTGTTCTCTTTAAGCTGAGAGTAATACCACTATGGGTACTGATTCCTCCTGACGCTATATGTTATATCTCCTTGCTTGTGACACCAGTAACCTTTCCAAGCATCTTCAAGCGGTTGGAATCCATCACAGCAATGCGTCCCAATGCGGCGCACTGTTCGAATGGCTCCAAGAACAAGGGTGCGGTAGGCTCGAATTCGACCTCAGCGTTCTCAAATTGAGACAACTCTGTAGGATTCTCCACTTTGGCACCACCAGTCTTCTTGGATTGCTTCCATAGAATCTTGGTGATTTTGCAAGCAACCTTGGCAGTACGAGAAAAAATGATAGGAGTGTATCCTGGCTTCAAGACACCTGGATGCTCTTGGACTGCCACCATGGCGGTGAAACTCTTGACGGGAGCCAAGGATCCTTCCTTCTCGAGATAAATGATGTCTCCGGCATTGACCTTTTCATCCTTGGCAATACCCTTGATGGATATTCCCACTGAGTTTCCAGGTCCAGCAGAATCCAAGACCTTCCTGTGTTGTTCAATCGAAAAGACTTTCTTTCCAGTAAGTCCAGATGGAGCAATTCCGACGATATCACCGGGACGGATGGTTCCTTGCTCAATGGTGCCAGCAATGATTTGGCCAACTCCCTTGATGTTGTAGATGTTGGAAATGGGGACTCGCAATGGAGCTTGAGGGAAGCGCTGGGGTGGACGGAAGAAATCATTCAATGCATCCACAATGGTAAAGCCAGTCACCTTTTGCTTGGGGCCCAAGTTGGCGGACCAGCCCTTGTACCAAGGAGCCTTGTCAGATCTTTCGACAAGGTTGTCTCCGTGGAAACCAGAGTATGGAATGAATGGAACCTTCTTGGGCTTGTATCCAATCAATTGGAGCATCTTGCTGAATTCTTCCTTGATTTCGTTGAAGCGATCCTCAGACCAGTTGCAAGAGTCCATCTTGTTGACACCCACAATGATTTGCTCCACGCCGAGCAAATACAAGAGGCGGGCATGTTGACGAGTTTGCCCTTCTTCGACCCCCATTTTGGGATCGGCCTTAGCAATGGCGGACTCGAAACCTCCTTTTTCGGCGGGGACGAGCAATAGACCAACATCGGCAGTCGCGGATCCCGTAATCATATTCTTGATGTAATCCTTGTGACCGGGAGCATCGACGATGGTATAGTGGTATTTGTCAGTGTAAAAGTCCTTTGTATTGGACTGGATGGTGACACCACGCTCACGTTCTTCCTTGTTGGTATCAAGGAAGTAGGCGAATCCGAAGGAAGACTTTCCATTCTCTTCGGCAGCGGCCTGGAGCTTTTGCATCTCGCGTTCCGAGATGCCACCCTGCTTGAAGATGAGATGTCCCGTTGTTGTACTCTTTCCAGCATCGACGTGTCCGGTCACCACAAGAGAGAGGTGTTCCTTTTCGGATGCCATGATAGATATTTTCTTTGCTTTTAGATGGAAGTCTTTTGGTGAGTCTTGAATTGTCTTGCAAATCTGTCGATTTGTAAATTGTGAGGAGAGTTTGGGTTTGTGTTGGGGTTCATCCGGGTGTTCATCCGGGTTTCGAAATGGTTCTGCAGGGTTCATCATCCGGGTTTGCATGAAAGTGATGCTGATTTGAGAGAGGTTCGAAGAAGTCGAAGCAGTTCCAAGTGATTTGAATCATGCGACTACAGTGCCGAAAATTTTGAACGACAACAACACTGAATGAAGACAGCTTCTAGTAGGCTACTTTTACAGCGAGAAACTACACCATCATGATTCCATCAGAGATTAATTCTTCCATTTCCTCTACCATGGATGGTGCGAGTGGAATCAATTTGGAGCTTTCAAAGAAACTGATACAATCCTACACGCCTCCAAATGGAGGAACCACGAAACGAATTCCTAACGACACAGCGAAAGCAATCTCGGAGTTGCTTCGGATATTTGTAGTGGAGACTCAAGCTCGTGCATCAGTGGAGGTATGTTTATCTTGGAGTCCAATTTGATCATCTTTTTCTTTGGCCCATTCATTCATTCGTGTTCATTTTCCCGTCGTTGCTATATAAACAGGCCGAGTGCGATGCCGTGGAAGACGCAGCGAATGGAGGACTTGCAAATATTCGAGCAGACCACATTACAAAGGTTGCAGTGGAACTACTTTTAGATTTTTCTTGAGAGATGTCTTGAGCGAAATACCATTGGGACTCCTACAATATTACTCTACTAGTCCACTAGTAGCAGATGTTCCTCGAGCGTCCAACTATCGGTGCATAATTCAGTGATCTAGATTACTCGTTGTTGTTATTCCAAAAGCAGTCTACCTCAGCTTTGACTTCTGCTAGAAAGTTCCTGCCTTGTTTTCCCGTTCCTTCAAAATGACTTTCCACAAGGTGATAATCTTTCACATCCATGTAAACACCGCCCTCGGAGGCAATGACCTGACCATCCGGCATGATACTTCCAATCCGTTTGACGCGATCGAATCCCCCCAATGCAGGTCCACTGTTGAGGATGATGCAAGTCCTATGCTCTTGCTCTACACCAATAATCACAGAACGTCGGAACCATTGGCTGTCACCACAAACACCAATGGGATCATAGTATTCAATGATAGCACCCGCACGCAACGTCCTCGCTTCCTTTTCCATTCTCGTCTGGACTTGGTCGTCTGAGGGCATTGCTTGTGCTGCCATCCTTTTTAGATTCCATCTAGCATGCATTCTCTCGTCCACGTTGTAGTAGGAGTAAACACGCCGTGATCGACACGATGCATTCTTATATATATATATCAAATCCAGCCTTCAACGAAATCAACCGTGCGCATACTGGCAAAGCCATCCAATCGGAAAGTAACTTAAAAGTATTGTAATATAGTTTCTATACAGTAGTACAGCACCAATACAATATCAATCACCCACTAATCAGTCCTACCGTACTACAGAACTAGACCATTTGTACTTGAAGCGCCTCGTCGGGAATACAAAAATTGATCCAACATTCCCATGGTCGTGACCACTCCTCCAATAATGGCACAGACGGATGTGAAAAAGGCCACCCATCCCTTTCGGTAGCCTTCGACAATTTCCACATGCAAGGGTGACACTTCGTAGAAAAAGAAGATCCCGGGCAAACCTCGGCTGCTTCCTGGATTCACGTGACGCAAATGTTCCGTCACACTGTATTGATTGGTTTGAATGGTGGTTCCGTTCAAGAAAATATACCGCGTTGGAACAATCTTGAAGTAATATTGGTACATACCGTGACCATCGGTAATGGCCCGAGTCTTTCCATCCAATTGGTGTACATGTCCAGGATAGCTATCCCCAAATCGTATGTGGTGCATGGTGTGGGTAACATTCCAATTCTCAAATGCTCGGTGAATCATGGTATTGAACCACTCATTCATATCCTTGGCGCCACCGGACTCGTCCGATATAGCATCTGTCATCTCCCGACTCGGTGCCAAATGAAAGTTCCCACCACCCGAATCCAAGGCAACGAGTCCGTGTACGTTGCAGCCTTCGCCTTCCTCGTTTCCTTTCTTGACTTCATGTTGACATTGCTTGACATTCTTGATATCTTTGAGTTGCCATCCTTTCTTTTGGTAGGTTCGTTTGACATCTTCGCAAGTGTTGCAACATTCGTCCTCTTCTCCCGCACCATAACAGCTACCACATTCCTCTTCGTCCGAGGACTCGTCGTCTTCATTGAATTTGACTTCCATTTCGTTCAAGGCCGTCTTGAAATGTTCCTCTTCCAAAAAGGTACTCCCCGGTTCCAATTTGGCCCGTCGTCCTCGAAATTCCAAGGCCCCCGTGAGTTCGTCCACCTTGACGCGATGTTTCCACACATGATGCGATTTGTCCAAATGCAACGATTGGGTTTGTCCCGTGGGATCATTGGCATCAATGCTCAGTAAATTGCAGGGTATATTGGGTAAAGTAATATCAAAATCAACTTCCAATCCTCGACTGGAGGTTCCATTCACATGAACTCGTTCCGTAATGATGGTTTGAAAATTATATCTCATTTCGGTCCACAACAAGTAGAAAATTGCTTTTTTTTTAAATAGAGAGAAAGCAAGGAATTTGGTGGTAAGAAGGAAGGAAGGAAGGAAAGAAGGAAGGAATCATTCAATTCATCACATTCCGCCGCGATTGATTGGCATTACTGACTCACAACTTAACGTGACAATGGACAGGATCGCTCCTTGCAAGGTGTATACTCGGAATTCCTTGGACACAAAACTGTGGGAATCCAACGTTCGCAATCGATCTGAAAGGTCTGGCATGGTGATTGCTTGCTCTTTTTATATACTATATATCTGTGGTTGTTTCAACGATAGTCTGTTGTGGTGGTCACCTTCGCATTTATTATTTTCATGTTGTCGGTCGAACTCCAACCTCCGACACACACACCAAACTAACAAAGAACTCTTTCTGTACGTAGTCGTACATACGAAGGAAGGACCGTTATCGACTCTAATGACTTCACTGAGAATCCGACCGTTTGTGGTTGGCCTGGCTATTAGGAGTATTAAATTGTATTCAAATAGGGATGTTTTATTATTTGCTCTGACTGGCTCGCAACGACTCACCGCTTCATTCAGACAATAACCGCAACCCACTCCTACTGTAACATCTTTTTTTTCTTTCTATCATCATCATCTTGCGCCTCTGTGCAACGTTAGAGTTGTGTGATTCAAATCACTCTTTGTAGTAAAACAACAATGATCTTTCGAAAGAAATTATCACTCTGCGCCCTCCTCGCAATCAATCTGCTCGCTGCCCCTGGTGTTCTAGCCGACGATGGAGGCAATGACGATGCAAACAATAATAATAATAATAACAACAATGGAGACGATGCAGCTAACGGCGACGACGCTTACCAAAAATACTTTGCCAACAACGGACAGAAAAACTGGGATGGCTTTGGTGCAGGAAACGACAATATCCAATACTGGACGGATTATGCCATTTACCCGGATCGATGTATCGTCAGGTGAGTCTTATCTTTTATTTTAAGACAATCGATCGATTGATTGATTGATTGATTGATTGAATCGTTGATACGAAGAGGAAGGAATCCAAGGTCAATTCCATGCTGCAGCATTGTATAACTTACAAGTTCTTGTGCTTATTTCAACTTGCAGCAACAATGTCGATGTCGTTGTCTTTACGTTCCATGAGCAAAGGTACAAGCAATGTTCGGACAAGCCAATGGGAACGTATATCACACCGGTGTCCAACTTTTTGGAAGGCTACCTTCAATATTATCAACAAATTCAACAGGACAAGGGAAATGACGACTACGCACTCCCAGATGTAGCTCAATACGCATATTGTACCCAAAAATATGTCAATGGTGAAGAATATTGGTTGCAAATTGGGTGTTCCGACACTGATCGCCACAGCATTGCAGTCAATATTTACACGGACAATACTTGTACCAAAAGAAGCACTGTTGACGGATTGGACGATGCTAATATTGATGTTTCCGAGATTCAGGTACGTAGTAGGTTTTTTGCAGCATGATTGTTGTTGTTGTACGAGACGCGCCAATGCCGTACTAACCAACGAACCCTTTCGTTCTTCCATCCCATTACCAGATTCCATTCAAAAAGTGTCAAGCTTGCGTCATGTGGGTTGACAAGTCGGATGATCAAATTGACGACATGTTCTTTGAGAATCGTCAAACAAATGCTCCTCTTTGCTCCACTTCTTGGAATTACAAGAAGACTTGTAATCGACGATGCCGAAATATTGGTCAAGACCGAGACGGATGGAGCACTCCGGACAAAATCCTGCTCACTATTTTGGGATTGTTTGGCGCCGGCATGCTTTTTACTATCGTAAGGAGAAGGGAAAAGATGTCCAACAAGGATGCTCTCCTTGAACAGGCAGCCATGAACGCAGCAGGACTGCAACAATCACATGTCATTGGACTATTCATTCTATACATTCTGGTGGTCATTATCTTTGCTCTGCAAGTCATGAAGAACATTACATGGGCCATGCTTCTAATCATGAACACTGCCTTGTTTGGATACCTAATGAAGCTAACAATAGACAGCGGGGTGGGACAAGGAGAAACCGTCATTGGTCCCGATGGCACGATTATTCGGCACGCGGATTCGGATGACTCCAGTACCGACAGCCAGCCTCCAACACCCAATGCCAATGCGGGAACCTTTGAACCTGCTCAATTACCCGAGATTGCATAATTTTCATGGACTTGCCTGATATGATATCATACAATTACATTTACTGTACATGGACACAAATCCAATCAACGAATGAATGAAATGGAATGAATAATACGGTATCCATCCACCACAAACACTTCTTAGTGCATCTCGTAGAAACTCTAAAACATAATCTGTTGCATCTATAGTTATTGTATTTATCTTGTTATTTTCTAGAGTTGCTGCTGCTGCAAGTGGCAGTCGTGGAGTGAGAGAAGTATAGTTTAGTATCTTGTCGAACGGTATGATGATTATCACGCACGGGAGATGATCCAATTTTATTAAGGACAGTAACCCGTCCCGCGACATCGAGAATAAAAGTAGGCAGTTGTATTGCCTGGATCGTGTACTATGTAATTGCATCCCCGATAGATCATTGATCCCTCGTCCCGAATCAGCTCGGGATACAATTTCATTTTACTGTTTTCCATTTCTTCCAAAAACCAAGGTGTCGTTTTGTTCTTTTGGCGATCAAACGCAATGCGAAGAGTGCCAGGTCCCATTAGTACCTTGTCTGGCGGGACATCCTCAAGCACTTTTTGCAAATGCTCCATCCTTCGGGCATTGTACACTCCGGTCGGTCCTCGAAAAAAGTCGGAATCAAATTCCGTCTCACTCTTGTTGAATTCTTGTAGGACGCTCGGGATCATGTACCAATCATTCAGCATCGATTCCAAAGCCGCTTTCAAGACGGGATGAAACGGCGTCGTGGCAATAATGGCTTGAAAGAATGTACCGCTTTGCATCTTGGCCGTGATGAAATCCGCATTTGACGGTGGTTCCAAAGCTTGAAGCGTCTCAATGTCCACGTCCAAATAGTATCCTCCATACAGATAGAGTGCGGCCGTCCGGCAAATGTCGCCGCGGTAGGCAGGAAAGGTTTCCGTCTGAAAGATGGGAAGGTATTTCGGTTCCACTTGTTTCAAAAGTTCGATGCATTCTTTGTCCGTGTAAAAGAGAACCTCCACGTGAGATTGGTCCTCGATTCCCCATGCGTCGGCGTAAACTTGGATGGAATGCTGGACGTTGTCGTGCAAATGTTTGGGAGTTTTCTCATGGAGCAAGTTCTTGCTGTAGGTAAAGAGTAATCGGCGGGGAATACTGTTTGTAGCGTCGGAGTTGCCATCGTTGGCAACTAAAGTTTGGGGACGAGGCTTGAGAATAAACCCAGCAGTGGCTTTATTGGATTGTGCAGGGGGCAGTTCGTTGTTGTTTGGAATGGTAATGCTGGCCTTGTCCATCTTCGTTTCCTCGTCACTAACTCTAGACCGTCTCGATTCGCTTCTCAAACTTTCAGTTCTTGATTGCATCCGAAGATTCCTCCTTTCTTCTACGTCGTCCTCGAAGGAGGTATTGTGTATCATGTCCAGATAGGTTGGTACACGAAGGTTCGCCAATGAGAAAATCAGAAATACCAGTAGAATCAATGATCTCAGATACCACTTTTTTGTGGACAATGAGGCATCGCTTCTGTGCTGTCGTTCGGTGGCTTCCATTGGCGGCCTTCCACAGGCACTACTGTCTCTCAGTATAGCGAGGTGGATACAGTACTGTACTGGAGGTATGGCACAGATCGATGCAGATTGATTCAGAAGATGATGTGAATGGCAGTGCTGCTTCAGTCGAAGAGGTCATTCAAGAAAGGCCTAACTACGTACGTACCGGTAAATAAGTCTGTGGCATACTGTAGAAAGATAGGTACACACCAGTATAGTAGTATAGCCTGGGAATAGTGGCGTATTGCTGCACTGTACTTGCCATTGTCATTCGAAGAAGACAAGACGGCTCTTCAAGTGCCAATGTCACGGAAAAGGAGCCACGAGGACGTCTCGGAAGATATCTTTGTGTACTATGAGAACACAGACCTATCCTCCATCCCGACAAAAGTTACCTCATTACGGATTCACAGCTCTGTCAAAACGATTCCACCTTATGCGTTCAGAGGACGAGGAAACTTGGTCAATGTAGAATATCCAGAGGGATTGCAAGTCATTGGAGAGAGCGCTTTCTGTTCTTGCCAAAGTCTACGAGAACAACAGTTTCCATCGACTCTTGTCGAGATAGGTCCAGAGGCCTTCAATGATTGCTATGAGCTCGAAGTCGTCGGAAGCTTTCCACTGAACCTGAAGCTCATTGGGCAATGTGCATTCTTTCAATGCACAAATCTACGAAGCATTGAAATCCTAAGCGGCGCTTGTAACCTGCAAAAGAGCGTGTTTTCAGCTTGTTACAGGTTGACACATGTTCGGCTGCCTCAAGGACTAGTCATCATACCGAAGTGCTTGTTTCACGGTTGCAAATCGCTGGTTGACGTACAACTTCCTTCTTCGTTAATCGAGATTGGAGGTGCCGCCTTCAAACTTTGCAGACTTCTTGCAACGATAGAACTTCCCATTGGATTGAAGATTATTGGATCCGGTGCCTTCACCATCACTGGATTTAAAACCTTTCATTTCCCTTCTACGGTGGAAACCATCGGCGAAGGCGTCTTATCTGATTGCAAAGAGCTCGAATCTGTCACCCTACCACCCAAGCTAGTAACAATTCCAAACGAAATTTTCAAAGGTTGCCGCAAATTGAAGGATGTCTGCCTTCCAAAATCGGTTGCCCATGTTGGAAATTCGGCTTTTGAAAATTCCGCCTTGACTAATTTAGACTTTTCTCAATGTAACTTGACCAGCATTGGAGATTGCGCTTTTGAAAGTTGCCGGCTGACTGATTTGGACCTCTCGCAATGCAATTTGACCAGCATTGGGAGGCGCGCCTTTGCTGGCTGTCGGCGACTCAAGAAGATACTTCTTCCAAGAACAAGTCTAAAAACGATTGAAGTTGGGACCTTTCAAGAGTGTATTCTCTTGACGCATCTTTGGATTCCGCCAACCGTCGAATGCATTAAAACCGGTGCGTTTGGGAAATGTTCCTCATTGCTCTCCGTGGAACTACCCGAAAGCTTGAACCGGGTAGGGTTTGTTGGTCAATATCTAAGTATAAGTGGATACAACTCTCTGGTCAACTTTTGGCTTCCTACATCACACGAATTAGAGAATGCTAGACGCCACTATTTCATGGAAAATCTAAAGCTAGGAGAAGCTTCGAATGGTTATGAAGATCTGGTCAGCAAGCTGAAACAACGATTCGACTGCCTTCCACTTCACCGGGCTTGCTATTTTCAGAGCTATCATACACTACAAGACAATATTGACAGCATTCAGGGTATAGTGAAGGCTGATCCAGATGCTTGCAGCAAAGTGGATTTCGCTGGAATGACTCCATTCCATGTCCTTGGGTTATCCCAAATGCCGTGCCCGCACATGTTTCAATTGCTTCTTTCGGTAGTACCCTCTGTGGATGTAGTTATACGATCTCGAGATGTCTTTGGATACTCACCGCTGGACTACCTATGCAATAAGCATTCAACAACAGCACTGAATGTGGCGAAATCATTGCTTCGAAGCATCTTCAAGCCCCGAGTAGCATGCATAGGATTGGATCGCTGGAGGGAAGAGCTTCAAACTGATTTAGAAATGATCGAAGCTTCAGATACTGCGTCCATTGTTCCAAATGTCGCTTCCTTCCGCCGGAATCTGGCAGTGCACGAGCGGATGGAGGTGCAGTCGTTGCTGGAAATCGCTGTATGGAGGATGAAAGTAAAGGAACAATCGATGGGATTACATCAAGCTGGGGATGGCGCTGCAATTGCATTGTGGAATCAACCTAGTGCTGACCAATGTGATGCCTTTCATGCGCACAAGAGAACCATTGAAATTTGATCTCTGCCCTTCGACTGGCCGTTGTTACAAGATGTCGCCAACACGTCTTTTCCCCTATTGGTACATGTAGTCTAAAGGTACACGAGCATAATGGACTTGATTCAAAGATTCTTGAAGTCCTGGGAAGATTGCCAGTGAACCTGGAGGTCATCGGTAAAGCTGCGTTCAAAAAATGCAAAAAGCTGCGAAGGATTGAAATCCCAAGCGACAAATGCTGCCTTCAAGACTGTGTGTTTGCAGATTGTACCAGTTTGACACATGCTAGGCTTCCTCGTGGAATGGTGAAAATTCCTCCCTTTTTGTTTGACGAATGCAAATCGCTGACCGATGTAAATGTGCCTTCTTTGGTAACCGAGATTGGAGAGTGCGCTTTCAACTGTTGTGCCAGTCTTGTATCGATGGAGTTGGCCAACTGAAGAGCATACTTCTTCTTCAAAGAAGTCTGAAACTGATAGAAGAGGCGACCTTTAAAGATTGTTCTTCCTTGACGTACCTTTGGATCCTCTCCAACTGTCAAGTCCGTTGAAAATTGTGCGTTTGCTGATTTGTACCTCGTTGCTCTTGGTGAAAGTGCCCGAAACTTTGGAGCTCGTTCAATTTATTGGTATTGATTATGGTCATTTCGAACGATGTGGATACAACTCCCTAGTCAACTTTTGCCTTCGAATTGGATCACGTCAGGAGAAGCTGCGAATGGGTATCAAGATCTGGTCAGCAAGATGAAACATCGATTCAATTGTCTTCCACTTCACCGAGCTTGCTATTTTCAGAACTATCATACACTACAAGACAATATTGACCGCGTTCACAATATTATCCAGCTGCTTGCAGCAAAATGGATTTCGTTGGAATGACTCCATTCTACCTCCTCAAATGCCTTTTTTGCGCCTGTTTAAAGAGCTTCTTTTAGTATCCTCCGGATATATTATTATGCGGCCTCGGGGCATCTTTGGATGTACACCGTTGGACTGCTTATGCAAGAACCATTCAACAGCAGCAGCATGTGTGACAAAATATTGCTTCGAAGCATTGTGAAACCTCGAATTCCGTTCTTGGGAATGGATCGCTGGAGAGACGAACTCATGTGGAGAATGAAGGTGGAGGAAGAGAAGGCAACACGGAAGGATACCCGCGAAAGCTGTCGAGTCAATTGTGGAAGCCACGTCGTGCTGACTATTGTGGTTTTGTTTATGGATAAGTCTACCGGTACTACTCCATTTTGATGCAAGCCTTGTCGATCGCTTCTTGCTCCTGATGATGCAGCCATGATGTGAACAATAAATGTACATTCGTCGCCTTTACTTTTATAGCAAATGTGTTTGTGACCACACAGTGCAATTGGCTAGATATGCTATTAATGAACTACCTTAGAATATACTCAGACTTACTAGTGTTTGGTAAAAGAGTCGAGTGTAGTCGCAACACACACACAGAATTACACCCTACAATCAACCGTAAAGGTCTGGGGCGACTATCGTGCGCACGTGGTATGACCCAACGGACTCCTTTGAGCTCCAAAAGAATACAGTATTCTCAAATTATCACTGAAGACCATGGCGATGTTGCCAAGGGAACAGCACCTGCAACTTTGCCTTGTTGGCTTCTTGTCTCTATGCTTGTTTCGTAATACAGCAGGATTTCAATTGAAGACACCATTCCATCGACTGCCAACCGTTGGAAGAACGTCCCAAACTACGCTTTCAGAAACCATTGAGAATGATGGTGTTCGCAGCAAAGAAGATGACATTGCGGCTACAATGGAAGCGATCATTCAGAACGAAGAGGATCAGACTGAGCAGCAGGACTTCTTTGTAATGCCTGATACTCCTTCGGCCAACTTCAACGGCTATTCGATGCCAACTGGAAAAACAACTGGTTACAGCGCTTTTCTTGATTGGAAACCAGATTGGATGAAGCCTTTTCAACCCAAGACCGTCTTGGATGTCTTGGATGATGAAATGAATGAAGATGGCTATGGAGATATGTATCGAAAAAAACGATCGTTTTTCTATCGGGCACTCAGATTTCCGCTCAAGCTGGCCAAGAAAGCGCTGAAGAAAACGACCGAGGACCCTGGAACCTTGATTCTTGTCCGTCATGGAGAATCTGAATGGAATGCAAACAAAACATTTACAGGCTGGGCAGATCCTGATCTAACCGTGCAGGGCCGAAGAGAAGTAGAGCATGCCGCTCGGTTGCTGATGGCAGGTGGTTACAATGTTGACGTAGTTTTCACATCCAGGCTGAAACGGGCCATTCGATCAACATGGATATTGCTGCAAGAACTAAATGAAGTCTATTCACCTGTATTCAAGAGCTGGAGATTGAATGAGCGGAATTATGGTGCTTTGACTGGGCTCAGCAAATTGGAGACTGCGAAGCGCTTGGGACAAGATCTAGTGCAAGAATGGCGGGGATCCCTTCGCTCCAGGCCTCCACCCTTGACTCCAAATGATCCATATTGGCCTGGACGAGAAAGGCGATATGCAGATTTGACAAATGACCAGATTCCCTTGACAGAGTCCCTCTTGGACTGTATGGAACGTACCACGCCATTGTGGGAAAACAAGATAAAGTATGAACTGAAGAAAGGTCGCAACGTCCTAGTTGTAGCTCATGCAAACACACTCCGTGGGCTTGTCAAGGTAAGTGTCTATCGACCGAGAGTGAGAAGCAACAAATACTCTTGACTAACAGGAACCTCGATTTCATTAAAAAAAACCAGACTATCGACAACATTGGCGACGCAGAAATTCAAGGTAAGCATAGACGGGTCCACTTTGGTTTTGCACCACCCTTCGATTAGAGCTCACGTGCTCATCGCTGATGTTTTGAAGATGTTGCCATACCGACCGGCATACCCATCGTTTACAAGTTTGACAAAGAGCTCAGGTCTATTCCGCCAGCAAAAGAGGATAACGCTGTTAGTCAAATCCACATGAATGCTCTCTTCCTCGAGAAACCAGGAATATTGAAAGAAGCTCTGAAGCGGGAGTTACAGTGGTCCGAAGCAGTTCCTGGGTACAATAGAACCATGTCCAGGTATACTAGACCAATGACTTCTATTGAAAGAAGCTTGTACAAGCTTGACGCTGAAAGAGAGTTGGGTGAGTGGGCGAGTGAGTTCATCGATGCCAATGCACCAATTGAAGATGATGGTAACGACGGTAATTTTGGAAGACCCATGATGCTGTCAGAAAGCGAAGTCTGGGATCTGGGCTTGAAGCAGCTTGAGAGCGGAGAACAGTTTGATCCTGACAGCCCAAGCTTCCACGCAACGGAAAGGGACGAAGAGGAGCTGATTGAAAACGATGCAGACGAAACCGTTACGCCCAACATGGTGGCTAACCCTTGCATCACATCGATTCCAAGCGCAACTGTTTTGGGAAACGAAGGAATGTCGAAAATAAGAAGAGATTCTGTTATCGTAATCATCAGACATGGCAAGACCCAGCATAACAAATTGGGACTATTCACCGGATGGGTAAGGCAGTGGAGCTTGGAGCTTGGAGCTTGCTCGCCCTAATTTAGGCTAACCTTCTTTTCTCTTGCTCTTAGGAGGATGCACCACTTGCTGATGAGGGAATCGAAGAGGCTAAAGAGGCAGGAAGGCTACTGAAGCTGCACGGATTTGAATTTGATGTTGTGTACACTTCATGGCTATCGCGAGCTCTTGAAACTGCTTGGTATGTCATGGACGAAATGGATGCTTTATGGCTTCCAATCATCAAGACTTGGCGATTGAACGAACGAATGTACGGATCTTTGGTAAGTAGCTAGTTGAGATGAGGTTGTTTTCAATCCTTCATTAGGTATTAGTTCCTAACAACGATTCAAACAGACTGGACTCTCGAAGCAAATGGTGAAACAAAAATATGGAGATGAGCAATTCAAGGCATGGCGACGTGGTTTTGAAGTCAAGTATGTATAGCGCTGGATTATTTTTGTCGTTGTGTCCGTATTTTCTAACATTGTTTCCAGGCCTCCTGCTGTCTCATCATTTTCTCCACATTATCCTGGAAATGACAAGCGGTATCAAAAGTATTTGAAGGACAAGAGATACTCGTTACGAGAAACTCTTATTCGCAGCATTGAAAGTGGAGAATTGAAACTGGAGCGAAAACTCCCAAAAACTGAGAGTCTCAAGGACTGTATGGAGCGGACTATCCCATACTTTGTTGAACGAATCGCCGTCGACGCCGTAGATCAAGGAAAGCGAGTGTTGATCTCTTCATCAGAGAATGCGATTCGTGGACTACTTATGCATCTCTTGGACATTGAGGAAGAGGATATTACTGGCCTGGAGATCCCCAATGGGCTTCCTCTGATTTACGATGTCAAGTCGAAATGCTTAAAGGTACGCACTATGAATCACGGTTGCTGCTGTTTGAATGCGTCACGCTTACCTCTATTCTTCTCCTGTTTTTCCAGTTGTTGGACGACGGTACTGGTCGTGATCCTTTGGAGGTTCATAACTTTGGAAAAGCAGGGAAGTATCTCTTTCGCCCATGTCAGAATGAAGATGGCACACTTGACGAGGTAAGATCCATGCCTTATAGAAACTGCGGCTCCGTCAGAATTCAAATATCTAACTTGATTACATACTTGTGTTTTGTTCACGCAGGAGTGCACCATTGATTTCTCAACAAAGATTACGAAGGAAGAGCAAGCGGCCATTGAATCGATAAAACGAGGAACAGCATCTGCAGTCTAGCATCCCATTGTTACCAGTTCGGAAAGAAGATTACATACATGAGTAAAGCCACAGGAGTCAAATGATTGATAAAGTACAACAGCTCTTGCAGATGATTAATTTGGAATACGGGACAGCAAGTGTCGCTTTCCACCTTTTTGCCCTCCTATCGAGACAACTTCTATCCGTGATCCTTTGGGTATTCCATCCAACTCGGAAACGAATTCCATTAACAATTTTATAACTCTTTCGTGTTTCAAATTTGCAAAATCTATCGTCGCCAAGTAGTCATTCACGATCCCTGCCAATGGACCCCCTCCAATGGCATGTGCCCGGATCGGATAGGAACCAGTAATGTCGACCAGCCAAAGACTTCCTGGTGAGTTTTCTATGGAACCAGTGGCCAATAATCCAGCACAACTTAGTGGGCGTATCTAAATCAAGAATGAGGCGGAGAAATGGTTAGATCTTCACGCTCTACAGTAGATAGTATGGCTGGATCATTTCACTCGAAAAAGTCAACCGATATGATTTACCTTTCCCGAAACTGCCGATCTTGCCAACCACGTAGATGCTTCAGTTGCTAGATAGTTGCCATACTCCGAGTCCACTTGACGACCATTTCCATACAGAGCCACATCTTCCTTGGCCAAGTGCTTGCAATAATTCACCAGCGTTTGGGCATCTGCTCTCCAACCCACACACGCCAACGAGGTTCCATAGGAATCCACCGAAAACACTCGAAATGGTCCCCTATATTCTTTGGGCAGATCTTGCAAGCCTTCATCTTCCGCATCAGTAGTATCCAAAAGGAGTGGTTCTTGGGCAAACATAGTATGAACGGCGAGTAATACACAACCATCTTGACAAGTTGTGCCAATCACCAAAGGAGCCGCAGTCACCAGTGGATCGGCGTTTCGACCAAGCAGGCTGGCTTCAAAATTTCCCACGGCTGTTGCTGTGGAGGAACCTTCAACTAGTATTGCATTGTTTGGAAAGAAGAGGAAGAGGGTGAAAGCCAAGAAACCTCTCATTTTGCCAAGTGCAAAGAATGTGATGTCTCGTGTCTATGTAGCCCGTTTTGTTGATTTTGTTCGACAGCTCGTCATTCGAAGTAATCAAATAAATCCCCTCCCCCAATATAATATATTTTGTTACTATGTCGATATGTGTATATCGTACGTTCATAACGTAGTATCGTACCGGCACACGTGTACCTGTATCGTAAAGCTACTGTATTGTACCAGGTACGAAGTGAAGCCTCATGCATCCTGCATCTCTTGTATTGACCGAGTGGGGTACCAGTGACAGCAGCGTCGCTCAGCCTCGACCCAAGTTGAAAGTGTCAAATTCGACAAAATCACAATACAGCTTATTTCCAACACTACTAGGGCTATGGAAAAAGTATGATGCATACAGCATGTTCCGACCGGTATCAACAAAGATCAACGAGTTATCAAATTCAACCATCAATCTACACATGTCCAGGAATTATCAACTACACACCCTCGTGCTACGCCATTGGAATTATCCGAGAAGCAGTTTCCCCCTGTGATCATGCATGCCATATTTTCATTAGAATCAGGAGTCATATGTACCGGTACATGATGGAATATTGATCATCTTGACTTACAAATTAAACAACCCTGAAGTTGATTCTCTGGAAGCACAGGGATAGTGCCAGTGAAATAGTTTGATTCTGTATTTTGTCAATGAAATGAAATTGAAATTTAGTCATCGTTGCAAAAATTGGCAAGAAGAAGCTTGAAACACAGGAAGTCAATACTCACGCATGTAGAAATGAAGCAACAGGGTCAGTGCAGATAAAGATTCTGGGATACTTCCGACCATAGCATTGACAGCTGTTGGAAATGTCGCGATAAGTGAAACACAAATTGAGGATATACAGAATTACAAACATTGCATAGATATATCAGAAGAAGACCTACAGAGATTCAGCGTACGAAGTCCAGTCAGAACACCAATGTTTTCGGGAATGGTTCCTGTCATGTAAGTCCCATCTATGTGACTCGGGTGAGACTAGAAGGCAAAATCAGAGCATCAGCACAAAGACCAAAAACATACCAAGTGCTATGCCTTCAAGTTTCGTCATTTCAAGCAAGAACGAAGGAAACGTCCCACTGACTTCGTTAAAATTGTACCCTATTCACCAAAGAAGCGGAGAAACGTGCAGCAACAAATGCATTCTATCAGATAGACGTCTTTTGCTGTCTGCAGACGAATTTTGATGCCGAAGACTTACCCAACTCAATGTACCTTAAACTTTGCATATCTTTCAAGAACGAAGGGATGGTTCCTTTCAAGCCAGTTGATGCTGAAATGAAAACGAGAAATGAGAAAACGGAAGAGGAGTCGATCGTCCAGCACGCATTCCAAATGTGGTACTTACTAAGATCCATCACAACGAGGTTATCCAGTTGCGAGATGTATGTGGGAAGGGTTTCACCAAGCGTATTGCCACGAAGGTAAAGCAACTGAAGGGAAGTTAATGATGTGATACTTTGAGGTATGGTCCCCGAGAGTTGATTGTGCACTGACGAGAAGTTTCCAAATAATTGAGTGCTGTTGGCAATGCACAGGGCTTAACAGTACAAGAGCAAGACAATGGGATACGTACGAAGGGCAAGATTGGTTAGAGATCCAAGATTTCCAATACTTTCGGGTATGGTTCCCGAGAGTTGGTTTAGTCCTGTGAAATTGGAATAATTGGTGTATCATGGCAAGAGTTAGTGAACAAAGGCAAAAATATGGCTATTGAGTACCTTGCTCAGAGTGGAAAATCGTACCAAGATGGAAGGCATACATAGAAGAGTTTTCGGCAATTTCCGGGATTGTTCCTGTGATCGCATTGTTTTCTGAACAGCGCAAACCTTTTAGCAGCGAAAAGCAAAGAAAGCAAAGAATAATATTGCTACGTACGGAGCATGAAATAGTACAATCGGCTGAGCTTTGTAATCACACCTGGCAATGATCCTTGCAAATTATTTCCGACTGTGAAGTCACAAACACAGGGACAACAGTGAGAAAATTGAAGGTCCAGATATTTGATTCCACATCAAAATGACTCACCGAGAACAAGACTTCCAAGTGGCCCAGGACAAGTATTGTATAAAAAACTGTGGACAAAAGTCCAATTGCAGACGGGCTCTGCTGACAGCCACTTCGCGTTATAGGTCCAATTATCTCCGTTCGTCGAGTAGTACAACGCTACCAAGGCATAACGCTCCAGCCACATGTAATTACTGTTTGGATCATCTGCATCTGGTTGCCAAGTATCGGTTTCGGCCAGCCAACTCATTGCTTGTTGATCGAAAGGTGCGTGATCCGACAAAATGCCTTCGATCATTGCTCGGCGAGCATCTGCTACAGTGCTGGGAGATTGCGATGGGACAACGGATGGAGACGTCGTAGGACGCTTTGTTGGCGACATCGTCGGGAGCGGGGTGACTCGTTGTGTTGGAGACGCTGAAGGATTTGCCGAAGGGGACTCTGAAGGTGAAAGGGTAGGGAATCCTGTGGGTCCTGGAGTAGGCATCACCGTAGGTGCCTTGGTTGGGCCTGGAGTTGGAGTTGCTGAAGGTTTCATAGAAGGAGGGTCAGTGGGCAGGGGCGTCACATCAGGTGCTGGAGCAATCGATGGAGCTTTGGTCGGCTTTAGAGTTGGATTGGTTGTCTCAGCAGGAATCGCTTCACTAGGAGATGCACTGGGTACCGATTCGGCTTGACTGGGCGATACTGTCAACGGCGGCACCATGGGAGGAGTGATGGAAGGAGCAGACGTTGGATCACTTGTCAAAGGAACAGCGGACGAGGTTGAATCTATTGGGCGCGCAGCAATCGAGAGCACTTGTCCTCTAGGTAGACCAAAGTCATTCTTTTGGCCCTCTTTGAGAGCATCCCCCATGGTTTGGATCAGAAGCTCATCATCTTCATCGCCTTTGAGATAAAAACTGAAGTTGGTCTTCACTTCGACGGTTTGGACATCGTTGTCACCATCTTGACTACCCCCACACCCAGTGGCAATCGCATTGCAGTTCACGACCCTTGGGGTGGTGGTTGTCGAGACCTCGGCATTAGCAACGACACAGTCCTTGTTCTGCAACATGCGATGACTTTCATAGAACCCTCCTCGAATAGCTGATCCTCTTGAGTGAGAAAGTCGTCGAACATTCTCGCTGCAGCATGTCATGTCTTCGACCATGGATTTGAAGATTGCCTTCATAATGAACTCGATTTGAGCAGCAGCCTCCTCATTGGCAAGAACCACAACGAAGACGGTCTCCAACGACCTGGAGGCCAAATCATTCTGCCCCTCAATTTTCAAACCTGCTTCGACAGCAAGACAATCGTCCGCGCTTGGCGGGAGGTAGATTGAAACACTCAAACCAGGCGCGAGATCTTGACCTGGTGAGGTATCCTCTTTGCCTGCAAATGCAAAGTAAGCCCCTACAGCGGCTCCAATGAGAATCAAGACACCGAACCAGAGACTTCGATAGCAACGGCCTGCATTTTGGGTTGCGTTTCGTTCCCAGTCTTGATCTGAAGAATCATGGTTGTTTTGTTGTAGTGCTTGATGATTGAAGGGCCGCGATAGGGATGTTGGTGTTTCTGTTAAGTGATTGTTCCCTGTCCCCGGTGGGCAGCCCTCCATGGGTACACCGGCTGGTTCTTTCGTATCGTCGTTAGGAATGAGCGTAGCTTGCAGTAGTAGAGCGTCATCATCCAATTTAGCATTCTCTGCTGACGGGGTTACATTCGATTCGCGGTTGGCAACAAGTGTACTTCTTTGCTGCTTCCTCGCTGCCTTTCGTTCTTCTTGAGAACGACGTGATACAGCAGAATGTTCGGATACCGCCAAGTCGCCACCAGACTTGCCGCCCTTTCTTCGTTCCTTGTCCTGACGGGATTGCTTGGAATGTCGAGATGTCGACAAGCCCCCGCCCTTTCTTCGTTCTTTGGCCTCTCGGTCTCGATCTTTACCAGATTTGCTACCACGAGATGAGCTACAGGCCCCAGGAGTAGATACCCCGCTTTCACGGTTTCGTCTTTCCTTTGCCTCTCGGTCTCGATCTTTACCAGAGCCGCTACCACGAGATGTGCTACAAACCCCAGGAGTAGGTGCCCCGCTTTCAAGGTTTCGTCGGGCCTTGCGCTCTTTGTGATATCGATTGCCACTCTTGGTCTCAGAAAAGGCACCAGGTTCGATCGAAGAGATCTCACCGCTCGAATCAGTGTGACGACTACGAGAAAGCTCCTTGGCCTTGCGATCTTCCTTGCTCCGCTTGCTCGAACGACCCTTGTCAGTGCTGTTTTGGGTGTCCTTTTTGTCTGCCGAATCATCCATGACTACGATACTTGTTGTAGTTAATAGAATACAATACGTGGCTTGTATATTTTGTTGCTGCTGAGGACGAGAGGTTCTGAGGCAAAGTGCCGTTTGATCGTCCAGTAGTTGGACAAACGCCCAGCCGATACTGTAGATTGTTGTACGCCAAAACGTGTAGGATGACATAGGGATTCAGCCACATGTTGACGTTCCAAATTTTTATATCATGACTTTGGATCGGAAATCGGCCGAGGCTTCCACGAGCTTAATTATTGAAAGCGTGCATACTTCGGCGGTCATTTTTTTCCCGTTCAGAAAGTGTCGGAAACGTTGGAATTGGGGAGCGGGGCGTTTGGACTCCGAACAAACTTGCCTTCATTTTTTATCTGGCACATGACACACTTTGGTATTAACACCAAACACAATGCACAACATCACAGCAACACAAATTTGTACAACTTTGTTTCACCACACCCTTTTATAGCGTTATTAAGCGCAACCCCTCGCCTTCCGACATGGAAGACTCATTATTCGAACTAATCAAAGATCCCCTCCCCCAATATAGTTTCTCCCAATACAGTATTGTAAAAAATGTATCCTTTTCATACGATCATGAGAGCGAAGTGCATCGTAGTGAAGCGTGTCGTGTAGTTCGAAGACGTACGCTGAACAATGAACGAAATAAAAAATACTATCGTCATCTATTCTTTCACACTTGTTATGGTTTGGTATCTATTGGTCTTTCTTGTCACCGCCCGATACCAATTCACATTGGACGGTGATGTAGGCCTCTTGTCCCTTTCCTCCTTGTTCCAATTCCAAATCCATCTTTCCGCCATTCAACAAAATCTTACTGACTTGGACACGGAATCCACCCAATTCGGTATCGTCCCCTCGCTTATTGGCATCCATGGCTTGGATGTTGATGATAGCTCGCTCGTTGGCCAAATTATAAATCTTAGACTCGTTCCAAATGGGATTGACACTGTCCTTGATGGTTGCGGTTCGCCACACATTTGGCGAAGATGCAAATTTGACATTACAGTAGACATCAGGTATATCATTCTTTCGAAGCTTCTTCTTCTTGATCTTGAATCCTTGGCCACCCAAGATTGTGACCTTGACTTGCTGGACATCTGCTTCTTCTGTGGTTCCAGTGGCCGAGATTTTGGGGATAGACTTGCGGACCACCTTGGTAGCATCAAACTTGCTATGTTCATCGAATCCTTGGATAGAAACTTGGAATTCCAATTGGGCACTGCCAATGGTTCGGGTATCCTTGATGGTATTGTCCTTGGCTTCCAACATTTCTTGGTGGGGAATAGTGAGACTTCCCAACACGGTTTGCTTTGCCCAAGTGTTAGTGAGTTCAAAAGTAACATCAGGCAGGCCTCCTTCGATCATTTCCGGGGTAATAGGAATGACGTAGGAAACATCGTATACTGGGTTCAACGCATCAATGTAGGGATAATCGGGAAGATGTGTGACAATACCAGTAAGGAGTGGTTCTTGCTTTCCGTACTTAATCCTGACGAAGGATTCGCAATCCTCCTTCTTGAGAGGAAGATTGAAGGCCTTGGTGACCATGACCGTAAACAAGCCACCCAGGTGGTTGGCGGGTGGCGGCATCGAAAAACTGGTGGGATTCGAGACAAGGTTGGCAACCTCGCAGTGCATAGTGACAAAGGCCCCGACAGGACTGTTGTTATCATCGAGCAATTCAAATTCTTTTGTCCTGCCAGACAACATGAGCTCGGCAACTGTGAATTCAACTTGTCCCAAAAAGTCATCCGAATCCATAGTACCACTGTCTTCGTCCCAAGCTTCGACGCGGACGTGTTGGTCGTAGTCACTTAGCAAGAAATCACCAGTCTCGAGCCATTTGGGCGACAAATCGTCCTTGATGACAGAGGTAGTCCAAGTCCTGTCTCCAAGAGAGATCTTCAAGTAGCAATCGGGAATATCGTCTTTGCCGATAGTTTTCTTTTCAATGACAAAGCCACGTCCTCTAACAGCAGTCAAGCGAGCAATTCCTTCCGGAGCCACAAAGGCATCCCGGTAATCGCAGTTGACGTCCATCTTGTAGCACAAACGAGCGGGCAGGACCATGACGCCAGAAATGGCACCCTTGATGATACCGCGAATCATAGCGTCAATGCCTCCCAGGTCGGCGACATTACCGAGACCGGTAAAATCAATGACAAGCGCTGGCTTGTTGATGAATCCATATTGAATTGCTCCAATACAGGGAAGAACATCCGACAATGGCTTGAAGATCAACTGCAAGCGTCCCATGAGCTTGACATTTTGGGCCCCCAGCTTGAGCTTTCCAGCGGCGAGATTAATGTCGCAAGCACCGTCCTGAAATGAAAGAAAGAATGGAAACAGGTGTGTGTGTGTGTGTGTGAGAAATAAATGGAGGAACGCAATCGGATAATAAAAATGACCAACCCTCCATTCCGTAGCAAACAGCGTTGATAATTATAATTACTCACCCAAATCATATCAACATCACATTGAATCTTTCCATTCTTCAATGGGTGAACCACAATGTTATCGAGAGTCAATGGAACCTTGCCCAGATCGCACTTGGTAAACTTGAGCGAACTCAACGGTCCAGGCAACATATCTTTGAACATGGGTTCGACGGCGGCCACGATAGTATCACCAATCGCTGGAGATAAGTGTACCCACAACCGCTTGACGAGATCCGACAAGAAATTGACCGATTCCACATCTCGTCGAATCGACTTTTGACGCTCTTCCAAGGCCAGCGAAAACTCGTCAATTTGAGGTCGTCGTTGACCATTGAAATACAAAAAAGAGGCAGCTCCTGTGATGGCAGAGCCCCAAAAGAAGCCTGTTGCGAGTGACATGAAGTTCCCCATTCTTATTGACTTCGACAACTATCGATTGTGGAAGTGGACAGGTGTTTGTAATAGTTTCAACGGGCCGATTGGGTGCAGCTTCGTGGAAGGGTGAGTTGAATCTTTTTCCAGTCCCTTTTTCAGTTTCTGTAGTAGGTTTCTACGTACGAAAAGGATGCGAACACCAGGATCTTGTGTCTTGCGTTCGTTCCACTCTGCGTTCCCATTCTGCGTTCCGATTGGTTGAATATGATCGCACCGAATGTATTCGAATGGATCTAACGGACGATGGGGCAATTTTATATTTTCTTTTTTATTTCAGAATCATCATCCATGGATGCACAATGACACGATGACATGAGATCAAAAAGTTTGCGACAGTAGGCCGTGGTCGTCACTCGGAAACGAGAAGACCTTTGTCAACAGGAAATCAAGAAATAAAATAAGTCCTAAGTTTAAAATGTAGAGGTGACCAGAGGCTGCGACAGAAATATGATGGTGACCATCCACTTCCGCAGTCAATGTAAATTGTCCATTATTCACTGGTCATTCCTTGCTTGTTGTCACTTCTACAATTCACGATTCGTCCCGCGAATTTCCAGACACCGAGGAAAGGGGCAAACTTTGTCTTTGCACTTCCCAGCATGGAATCGCAATATAGACCAGACTTTCTCGCATGTTCTACAGCCACCTTGAACCTTTACCTGAGCAAAAAGGGAAAACAAAACGTGTAGTTTAGTACAACTGCATAAAATACTAGGATCCCCAGATGGAGCGGACGTACCCTGCAGATTTTCGTATGCATCAAATCCCTCTTGCTCCAGGAACAAAGTGTTGAAGTACACGAGCTAGAGCTGCACTGGTTTGCATGCTCAATTTGCCGTGCTTCATTTTCCCTCTGCTTGCGTTCCGCTTGTGCTTTTCTGCGTTCCAATTCTCTTTTGAGGGAGAACACAAGTTGCCCCGGTTCGGGCGTGCTTGCAGCAATTCGTTCCGTAGCTGTTTGCGGTGATTGGTTCGATTCGTCTCGGTTGTGTAGATGCCACAAAACCATCATCGATGTATGCTTCGCCCGACGAAGTTCATCGAATTGATAGTGTTTGCCTTGGCAGAGACTCAGCAAGGCCTTCCTTTGGTTCAGAAACTCGCAATCAAGATCTTCAACGTCGTCATCAATGACCTTCATTGGTCGGCCATTCGAGTCCAGCGGCACATCCAATCCATGTGTGTTTCTATCGTTACCAAGCACATTTCCATCAGCATCACGCTTTCTTCCAAAAGCGGCCAAAGGTATCATCGCCTCGGGATGCTCTGACCGATACTTCACAACAGAATCTGGTACCTCCATGTTTTCTCTCGTGGCTTCTGCCGAATTCAGAAATGCAACAATGCAACTTTCCTTCATCGGCTTTATCATTTCACCTAGCTTCACCATTACTTGGTCCCGCTCGTCAATTTCCAAAATATTATTCGTCTTCCCCGTTTGCTGAACTCCATTGTCGAGCTCGGTGATGATACGCTCTACTTCCCCTGCGAAGTCTCCCTGTAGGTAAGGAACTGCGGTTGCATCTAGTGACTGATTTGCGAAATACAAGTCGTACATGTTTGTAACTTTCCCGACTACATTGCGTCGCTGACCCTCCGCCAACATATCAATGAACCATTGCCTGAGTCTTGCGCCCCTTAAAGTCTTCTGGTACTCAGACTTCGCGTGAAGTATGAAATCTTCGCCCTTCATGGCAGAATATGCCCACATGTGTGCTGTCCCAAAGCCGCGTTGGCGAGCGTAGTCAAGGTAGGAAATAATAATCTCATGATACACAAAGGTTCGCAGACGCCGAGGTCTCATAAAGTGCGCGCTATCCAAGTATGAAATATGTACACAGCGTTTGTTTGGAGCAGGGCTGTCTTCGCCATATTCGTCAAGATAGAGAGCAAAGAGAAGAACATCAACACCATCAATCTCCTGAAAGACAAGGATGCATTTGCTCCGGAAAGGGAACTCGTCAGGATAGTTCTTGTGCTTGTACCTTCTTTTCATTATTTCTTGAACCTCGTGTTTTCGGTCCATCGAAGTGACCTGTCTGATAACGATAGGGCCCGAATCATGAATGGATTGGTCATTCCCCATAATTTCCTGTTTCTTCTCTTCAATTCGTCTTGTGACATCTTCCTCCAAGTACTCCGACAGATTCGTTCTCGGCAGGTCAGCCGCACCAGGCGGTCTCAGGGGAAAGGTAGCAGATTTACCATTTTGTCTTTTTTCGAGAAGGCAACGCGGACAAGAATATTCGGTCTGGTGTTTCTGTCTGCTATTGAAAAGCCCGCAGATCTGATGTATCCACTTTTCGCAGGTGTCACATTGCACCCAGCTTTCCTCGTGTATCTCCTCGTTTTTCTTCTTCTTCAATTCACTTTTGCTAGTGGTGAGATCGACAAACGTGAGAGGTTTATTTTCATCAAGATCTTGGTAGCACGGAGCGCACCAGAAATACTGGTTGTTTCCGCCAATGTAGTAATACCTATTTCGTGGTATACATGCGCCAAAAGGACAGTTCAAGCCATTGCAGAAAAAAGTGGGGCAGTCAAAAAAACGTTTCTCGTAACCACAAAGATTGCAGGCTCGTTCATTTTTTTGACGTCTTTCCCAATCTTCAGCTTTCAATGAGTTCAAATGATTGTTCAGCTGTGACGCTGATAATCTGTGGAGAAGAGTCCAATCCTTTCTTGAAGCCTGGCCATTCGGAGTGGCTTCCTGTACAGGTTCTTGGTGATCGGAGTTCAAGGCCATCTTGTGTAGTCGAGCTGCTAGTTACAGTCTCGACGGCTAAATTGTGTCAACAATGCAAGCACGGCCGAAAGTGGGTTTGGACGTGCCATGGCATACCGCAGTTACTTCTAATCTTAATGGCAATGGAATAATAAACGCGTCTGGGGGAGGGTGGTAGAAGTCGGTCCGCGTACACTATGTGCGCATGAGGACCACAAAGGGAAAAACTAAAGAAGTACGATGTTTGATGGACAATGCACATACGTAAATCACAAAGGAACCACCGATGATGCTGAAAATGCAATCCTCGTCCATTCAATGATGTCGTTAGTGTTGGAAAATATGAAGAATCACGTTACAACTCCGGTGTTGTGCATTCATATAATATTTCGCGCTGCATTAGCAGGACAGTTATTGCCTAGGTTTTCATTGCTATTCTTGTTTCAGTTGTCACTTCATGCAGTACTGTCCAATCAATCTATGATCATTCTACCTGAGTCTTACGTGAGAATTTCATATGCGTTAATAATACTTTGCTTCGTGGTGAACCTTGCTGGATACTCTCTGCTCCTTGCGTTGTACCGATACTCGGTTCAAACGATATTCAATCGACAACTTCCGCCAACTTTGAAGGACTGTTTGCCATCATTCAGCGCACACTTGTCCATGCTACGACCACTCGAGATTATATTTCGATACGTCACGAGTTCTTGGAGAGTCTTGCCAGATATAATCGTTCTTGGAGAAGTGCGATGTGGGACAACTTCTCTGTGCCAACACCTGGCCGATTTTGAATTAGTGGAATGTCACACTCCATTTTGTCTATGGGCTCACCCAGAATTGGACAACAAGGAGACTTTCTTCTTTGTTGGGCATTATTTGGGTAAGCTAGTGAAGTAGCATACATATATGTACAAAAATGATCCTCCTAAAGAAATTTCTCGCATGCTCTCAGGAATCGTTACACCCAGACATTACAGAATGTGTTTCCCCTTAAAGATTACAAAGTGGTGGAGCGAAACGAAGCGCAAAATCTGCGGACAGCCTTCCAAACCATTTCTGTCGTTTGGTATGTCATGCTGGTTTCGTTGATTTTCCTTCCGAAATCTCGCAATACAACGGGCCTCACTTGCACCTTATTTCTTCGACGCAGATGGATGTGCACAATACTTGACCAGCCCTACGGCTCCATACTTAATTGCACAAGCATACCGAGAGGCGGGAGAGAAGCCGCCGGTCTTCATTGCGTGCGTCCGCAGACCTGCAGAACAAGCTCTTAGCTGGTGGAAGTACGAGAACAACGGTACGTCCAATCGCTTGAGTTCCTCCTCAATTGCTGCTTGCGAAGAATTGCCACTGACCATACAAAAGCCATGAAATGGGGCGAAGGAATGATGTTGAACAAATGGAACACTTCCTTAAGAGGGAAACTTTATCCTCCGAGGTCTGTTGAAGACGCTATCGACTATTCACGAAGTCAACATATAGAAGATATGTATCAGCGTGCAGAGAGTCTCGGTATCGAAACAGTAGAAAATCGACGTTTTTTTCGCTTGCCCCAATGGGCAGTGACATGGCCTGGTGGTCAGCTCAGTGCAATAGGCAGAACATCGTGTTTTGCAAGAAATATCTTGCGTTATGAAAGGGTGTTCAGCAGCACTCGGTCTGACAAGCACAAACAAGCACTCAAGCATGTATCCATATTCCCAATAGAGTTTCTTCGCGATAAAAAATCGTTGAATCGGTTCATTGCTTCGATATTAGATCGGGCTGCTGAAAGAAGAAACAACAAGTCACTCTTTGCTGCTGGAATTCATTTGGCAGAGTCATCCAACCGATTGAATATCATACACCGGAATGCTGGCTCCTCTTTATCACGCGAAGAGGAGGTACAGTATATCCGATCCAAATTTGCGAAAGATGAGGACAGTTTGAATAGTCTACTTCGAGTGAATGGCATTCCTATAACTTATGAATGAAAAATACTTGAACTGGAGGTAGAGTAAGGGTACCCTGTTAAGAGATTTTTTTAAGAGAAACACCCCCTTTTAAAAGAGACAAATTTTGACGAGACAGAAATTTCACTGTCCATCTGTCACCCGTACCATTTCATGCCGCAAACCAGCCTTTCTGGGGGAGATGCAGCGGATGGCAGAGTGGAGAGAAAGATATCACAGTTGAGCCTATTCTTGCTCCAACAGGTGGGTTCCCTAATGATCCAGATGATTCGGACGCTGAGGAAGAGGTGTTGTGTCGTCCTTTGGATCAATGCTAATAGCAGGCTCAAAAAACTGCTTTGGAAACATTGAATGTATTAAGCGGCCAGAGCAGCACCAGATCTAAAATGTATCTTAGAAGATTATGGTAGTTTTCTTATCAAATTTGGTTCAATTGTTACCTGAAACTGCAAATTTTCTTCTCCAAGAGAGCTCTGGCCCCCTTAGATACCCCCCGCAAGACCCCGCCCTTGACCCGCTGGGGGCTGCCCCCAGACCCCCCTTAATAAGACTTGAGAGACATTTTGCGCTATCGCACAATACTCTCTTTTAAAAAAAAGGGTACCCATACTGTATTTATTTTTAGTCCCAATCGAATGAGTCGTCCCTTCATGCGACGGTTTCATAAAAATAACTGTAAGAAACGGTTTTGCCTTTTGAAAAATCGTGAACTGCGACTTTCCTTGGATCTCATAGTCGGCGTTTTACCATGAACGAAACCAAGCAACACGAGCTGACTGCATTAGTGGAATGGATAAGAACCTTCCCTCAGCTCGATCATCTACAAAATGATAAGGAGAATAGCAACACATCGGAACTACTTGCAGATCCTCAGATTACAAGGTGTGTTTACTCTGCTTTCGAATTCCACTCCTGGGGGTTCAGCTATTATTTCTTCCACTAACACTGTCTGTATTTTGTAGTTCTATATTTGATATTGCCCTAGAGGTTTATGGTTGTGACGGGGATGAAACAATCATGACTCACTCTTCCGAGATTTGGGACAATATCTTATCCCTTTCACGAAAGACAAGCAAAAGGAGGATTTTGGACGGAACTCATTCGGAAGAATGGGGAGTAGACGCAAGATATGACGCACTTACGAGCTTGCTACATGGGGCAATCTCTCACCCAGACATTAAAGTACGAGGAGAATACGTTGGGAGAATCACCAGTATGCCGGACCATGATACTCAAAAATCTCTAATGGACATGATTGCACGTCAAAAGCAAGAGATTGAGGGAAATAGACGAGAGAAACGGATCAAGAGATCACATGCGGTGGACGAAGAATCTAGCACTCCTGATAGACGGATTTTAAAGCCTCGTGCTTCAAGCTCACGGAAGCCACAGCGTAGCCCTTTAACTCCAAAAACATCCCGTTCAAGACCCCTTGAGGAGTCAGATGAAAGTGTGGGGCGTTCCCTTTTTACCACACCACAACGAGCTAGCACTAGTGATCTCTGTAGTGTGTTGAAAGCGGAGCGCAAAACGCCTAGCTTTTTGTCTCCAGGCCTTGGAGACACAGCGGAATACGAAAAAGAAGTCCAGGGTTTGCGTGAGCAAAACGACGAGCTCTTGTCAACGCTTGAAAGGTACAAGCGGAACGAGGAGGACGCGAAATCGAGGTATGAAGAAATGGAGTCCAAGTATCGACAAGAAATGATGAAGATTGAAGCCGCTTCTTGTCATCGAAATGAAGAGATACAAGGAGAACTGCAAGGAAAGATCAGAAGGCTCGAGAATGACCTCAGCGATATGGTGCAACAATTGGAAGCAAGTGAAGAAGCAAAAGCTGAGCTGGACACCATGAAGGATGAATTGGAGCTCATGAAGCATACCAAAAGTCTGTTGGACGACACTACGGAAAGACTGAATAATTACAAGGAAAAGTTGACTCAACTCACGGACATTAAGGACGCCTTGGAAAAAGAGGAAGAGGCTCACAGTAGATCAGTTGACGAGAACATTCGCCTGAAAAACGAAATTAGTTCTCTCCACGTGATGAAGCGCAGCCTAGATGACTACAAGTCCAGGGCGGTGGAAGCAGAGGTCCGATTCACGGAGGTTCATGATGAGCTGACGAAACTAAGGAAGCAACTTCATGACACGACAAACGACAGTGAGAATCTACAGACACTGATGCAGTCACAAAAAGAACAGATTGATGATCTTCATCGACAGATCAAGCACGAGGGAAAATCCGAAAGTTCTGGAAGCCAACTTGGAAGTGGTGTTAGTGAACTCAATCCAGAAATAAACGAAGAGTTACTCAGGCTTCGAAACGAGAATGCTCAGCTCAGAGCCTTTGCCAACAAAAGAGAAGATGACGCTGTTGCAAAAATGGAGCTTAATGTGGAGGACAACAAACGTCTCGCGGAGAGATACAAGAGCCAGTTCTTATCCACAAAGGGTAGGCTTGAGACCACCCAGGCCGATTTGGAGCAGTCCATTTCTCGAGAGCAAAAGTTGCAGTGTGACTATGCAACAGTAACTGAAGACTCCAATCGCATGCAACTGCAGCTACAGGATACAAATCTCGAGTTGGCTAACATTCGTCAGAATCTGGACGAGTCTAGAACAAGGGAATCGATGTTGGAAGAGGAGTTGTCTTCTTGGGTCGACCAAGCGCGTACGCTCCAAGAGCAGACCGATGAAATGACGAACCGCTTTCATAGCTGTAACGAAAATCTGGATAACGCAAAAGTGCAAGAAGCGGTACTCAGGGATAAAATTGCAGGCTTGGAACGAAATATTGAGCAATGCAACCAGGAGGCATCGTATTTGTCGCAACAATTTGAAGACCAAAAAAGGGAGCTACACGATTCAAATGAAAGCTGTGAGGAGTTATCCCAGGAGCTTTCAGAATGGGCTGAAAAAGCCAAGTCTGCGAGTGATCTGGCGAATGAGATATCCGACAGTCTTGCTGTTTGCGCCAGCGAGCTTCAACAGGCTAGGGTCAAAAATATTACCATACAACGCGAGCTAGATACTGCTTCTAAAGATGCTCATGCAAAACGATTGGAACTCAAAGAGACACAACATAGACTGAGTGAGGTCTATGGCGACTTGAAACAAAAAGAAACATTCATTGATTCTGCCAAGGAAAGAGAGGAACGACTAATAACGGATTTACACAGTGCAAACCAACGGCTTGATGGCACGGTCCTCTTGGTAGAAGAGAAGACAGCAGCAATCGCAGAGCTAGAAGATAAGTTGGAGGAGGCCCTTGCACAAAATAAGCGGTTGCTTGCAAGGGAAGAGACCTCGACAGTGGAACTAAAGGACCTCCGAGAGACTACACATAAAATGAAAGAGCAGATTGCTCGCATGCAGCACAAAGCAGACACTTGTGATAAGGGAAAAAGCGAGGCACTGAGCGCACTCAAAAAATCTGAAGAAGAGATACGTTCGCTGGATTTGATTATTACGGAAACAAAGAGGGAATTGGAGGAATCACAGTCAAACGGAGCGGCGTACTTGCAGCAGACCCATACGCTAGAATCCGAATTGGTTGAAACTCGTGATAATCTTCTGAAGGCTACAGATCAATTGGCTGAGTTGAGTAAAGCAAAAACCGAGGTAAACGAAAAATTAAATGAAGCCCATGGAACCATCAGCGATCTAAAGGAGAAGCTGAGCGAGGAAGTAAGGGCGAGAGCAGCAGCTAAAGAAGAGATAGCACTTTTGCGGGTTTCAACCTCCGAAAGAGAAGCTGATTTGAATGAGTCAATAGAGGAAATGCGCACCAAATGGCAGAAAGAAATTCAAATCGCCAATGGGTGTAAGCACGAAATTGATTGCTTGAATGAAGCTCTCGACGAAAGTCAGAGCGCATTAAGCGCAGCCCAGCATCGTGAGAACATGCTTCACCACAAGATTAGAGTATTGGAGGACAGAGAGAGTGAGCTGACAGCTTCAATCGAAGCAACACGCGAAAGTGCAAACAAACAAGTCCTCGAAGCCACGAAGTCTTTTGAAGCTACTCGCCAGGTACTTAATTCAAAGGCTACAAAAGATGTTGAAGACTTGCAAAACAGGATGAACTTGCTTCTAGATGAGGAAAGAAGAGGAAAACGGCAGATCGAGTCGGAAAACAAGGAGAAATTGAAGCAACAAAAAGAAAAAATGGAAAGAGAGCTTGCCAATGCTAAAGATAAAGCGGCGAGTACGATAGAAAGGACGCAAACTGAAGCTCGTCTGCGTTGTCAGCAAATGCAAAAAGAGCACGAGGAAACTGTCTTGAAAATGAAGGAAGATGCGAACCAGGAAAGTACACAACTGGTTCGAAAAGGCAAGGGCATGATCAAAGAACTTAAGACCAAGCAGCTCGAAGAGAGAGGAAAACTAGAAAATCAAATCAGGATGCTGGAAGAACGATGCAACTTACTTTCGAATGAAATGGAAACAACAACTAGCAACTGTAATTCAAAAGTTCGAGAGTATCGGAAGAAGCTACAGTTCGCCTCTGGAAAGATAACTCAGTTGACAACGGAGAGTGATGACTTGGAAGGGCAGATAGAGGCACTTTCGCGTGAATTATCGAAATTACGAGAGGAGAATGATAGGTATCGTCGTCAGTTGGGTGGGCGATTCGGTGCCGAATCGAATGCACAGAACGAGATGCTACGGAAGGAGCTAAAAGGTGCTTGTGATGAGATTCGCGAACTTAAACGTCAGCAGGGGGCATCACGCCCATCTCAAACGAACCATGGATTCAACGAAACTCATCAGAACTACAACAGAGACCTTGCCAGTCAATCTACCATCAGCCAGCTTCGAAGTGAGTACGAGGAAACTATTGAGGCCTTAAATGATGAAAAGCGTGAACTCGTGATGAAACATTCAGCTTCGATTACAGATGTTCAGAAAGCAGAAATGCGAGCTTGGGAAACCGAGCAAGACAACGCTACTCTAAAGGAGGAACTCGTCTCACTGCGATTGCAAATTGAGCGCATTGAGAAAACCTACTCGGAAGACAAGCTAAAAGTCAACAGCCCTGAACTCACAAGCGAGGGACATGCGGCTACACCCGTAGCAGAGAGTGGCCCAATTCTCAACACCAGTGTGCAAAATATTCATAAGCAGGATGAGAGAGAAGAAGATTCAAATATTACAAACGCCGATTTATCTTCGACATCTCCTGAACTCCCTATGGTATTTCAGCACCATGGAACTGGGGGACGAAACGAAGAACACCCACCAGAGTGTACACAGAGCTAGTTTAAGACATTACAAAAGTTTACATACTGTACTAGTATTGGGAATCAATTTTGATTCCGATTTCGTCTGGCTTTGTTTCCTTGGACCCCACTCATAGACGACGTCCCCAGGCCGTCTGACCACAGTATGCCTTGACATGCTTTGTACAAAAAAGAATATAGAAGAATATAGGCCTTCCATTTTCACCAAGTTTCGCTTTCAACCCATTGGTTACCACTACTTTGTCGTTCAGTCTCTTTCGGACACCTGCTATTTCAGCATCTTGTGGATTACCATCGCAATTTATAGGGTACTCAAATTGCATACAGAGAAAAAAGAATCTACTAAATGATCTGCTGCAATGCCAGCGGATTGAGCATGTAAAACGGTGCAGCTCCAGCTCGTGTACCTCCCTACTTTGCGCCTACATGAAGACATTTTGATGTTGCGAAAACCTGAAGGATGAGATATGTCCATCGGAACCTATTGCCGACCCTATTTATATATCTGTATTGCACGCTTAAGTTTTTCCTTTGCTTAGACAAAGGTTCAACGTAACTGTAAAAATTGCCGGCGTATCAGGAAGATATTGCGAATCCATGCTGAAAAATGTGAAGACGATCGTGGCTATGATATGGCCATCGTCGCTGCTGACACCCTCTAAAGATAGCACAGACTCTGATTCTTGTTTCACCGATGTGCATTCTATGTCATTGCCTTCTCTCGATTTGTCGCTTCCACTCGCCGTGTGGTCTCCAATGAAAAGTAATGCCGTTTTCCAGCCAAACTTGACACAAACAGGATTGACCCGCCTTAATTACTCATGTTCATCTTTCTGGATGTGTTCGATGATTTCGTAGGCAAATAACCAACAATTGTTTTGAATCAAGTGCAGATCTTTGTTGTAACTCTTGCAGAATTCCCTCGCTCGAAACACCAAAGGAAATGATGATGATGATTCCTCTGCGTGTTGCTGTTTGGTCGAAATTATTCTCGCATCTCCTGGAACCGCTTGCAAGCTCAGCAGCTTTTGCAAAGTTTCTTTTGAAGTGGGATTGATGGGGACAAAGTCAAAACCATAGTCATCGTACAAAACCACTCGGCAGTGTACCGGAAGAAAGGAGGGCCCGCCGATCAATGGAAGAAAACGCAGCTGAATGTCCTTGGATACATTGATAGAAAGTGCAGAAACTACTGGCAGGAGCTGTAGGAATAAGAACCACACTGAAAGGAATCGTATCGCAAGCATCGTCATGACACAGTATCCATGGCAAGAGCATACTTTCAACCTGGAATTTGGCTCGGGACTTACTTACCAGGACTCACATGACTGAAAGGATTGACTATCAACCACCATTTACATTTTTCTCCTGTTCGGCGGAATTTGAAATTGCATCCGGTAGAAAAACGCAACTTCGCATCCCACTGACATCATCCAGCGATACTCTTTCACACAAAACCTATCATAGTAGCAAACATCATGTGGAATATTACGACATTGCAAGATCCTCTGGCGTCCTATGTAAAGGGAGGCAATGACACAACTTCATCTGTCGTCATCAGTGCATCGGTTGCCCATGTGAACATTTTCAAAAACGACGACGCATCGGCATTTCAAGAGGGTGGACGGCCAGCCAAAGTTGCCTTGGCTGATTTCATCGCACGTACCTTGGTAAAGCAACGTAGTCAAGCCATGAAGGAAGTGGAGAATTTTGTTCTTACTCTGGAACCTTTGGATCGCATCTTTTTGAAGGGCAAACGACGACGACAGAATTTATCGGCACCCTACCCACCGTATGTGTTGGAGCGAAGTGATATTTGGTCCTCCAATGATCAAGTGCATCTATCATTGCGTTTGATTGTCGAGTCCCAATCGAAGCAACTCGACGAGAAAAGCGATTTCCTACAAACAGCTGTTAGTTCCATTTTAGCATCTTTGTTGCCATTTAACCAAGTCGACTGGACACAAGCGGCCATGAATCACATTTCTTGCGTGGTGTTGCAAGACAAAATTCGCCAACAGTTGGATTCTTCCAATGCAGTGGGCTTCATCGCCAATAATTCCATTTTGCCACGAAAAAGTGGTACGAGTGATGCTCCCATGTCGAGTCCACCCGCCGTCCCCTTTCAGGCACCACCTGACAGTTCCATGACGCAATCTCTCACCATTGAAATGGGATCTTTGGCGGGATATCTTCCCAGCAATGTGGTTCCCTCGCAAGGATCTTCCATAGCATTGTCGGGCTTGGTGATTCCGAAAGGTATCACACTTATTTGTGGAGGTGGTTATCATGGCAAATCGACCATGTTGCGCACCGTTGCCTTGGGAATTTACAATAAGATTCCTGGAGATGGTCGTGAATACTGCATTGCCGTGGAAGATGCAGTTTCTGTGAGAGCCGAAGATGGTCGCTATGTCAACAATTGCAACATCAGTGCCTTTATCTCCAATCTCCCCACTCTACCCGGTGCAACAAAAACGGTCGACACGACGCATTTTTCCAGTCGAGACTCCTCTGGTTCCACCTCCCAGGCGGCCAATGTTTCCGAGGCGATTGAAATGGGATGTTCCGCCATGCTCATTGACGAGGATGTTAGTGCGGCAAATTTCATGGCGCGAGATGGACGTATGCGAGCACTTGTCATGGACGAAAGCATTACTCCTTTGTTGTATCGAGTGAATGGACTGTACAATGCCAAGGGCATTTCTTCCGTGGTAGTCGTGGGAGGTGTTGGTGACTGGTTGGATGTTCCACATAATGTGATCTTGTTGGACAAGTATGTCGCATCAGATGCCACCGAAAAGGCCGCATCCATTAGCTATCAATTCTCGTATGGGCACGTCCAATACGGCGGAAAGGGTGTGGTGCACCGATTGGATTGGGAATACGGCGGAACTCCAATTCCACGTCGACCGACTGATGAGTTTGCGAATCGATTTAGTTCCAACATTGAAATTTCATTGTTGGATGGAGGTCACTCGATCGCCTTGCATCCCCATGAAGACGACGATGAAACGATGGATGGTGGCCATGTTGTACTGGAGGATGATCACGATGAAGGATGCATTGAAGCGTCACGCATGGAGCAAGTGATGGGACGAAAACACTTATATACTTGTGGCCTATGTGCACTTTGGATCATTAAAGCATCACAGCAGCAAAAGACATTGGGACTCCCCGATTTACTGAACAAGTTGGACGAAACCTTAGACTCCTCTGGTCTTGTCAAAGTTGTTGAGGATCTCAGTTCTAGTGGTCTTTCTCCCAAGACATGGCACCATCTGGTGGAAGCTGTTGGATTTGCACAACGTCCAAGAAAGTTTGAGGTTGGTCAAGCACTTACACGATTGCACGGAATCCAATTTGAAGAACTTCCTGTCGAGAATGAATTAGCTGCAAAATTGGCTGCAGCGAAAGCGGAGGAAGAACGAAAGCGAAAAGCCCTGGCGGATCTGTGGGCCGCAAGAAGAGCTAAGTAGATTTGTAAAAAAATGAATAAGTTTATCTTAGAAATACAAAATCAGATGTGGTTGGTGTTTCCTTCGTAAAACCTCGGGGCTAGTACAGTGTTGCAACTGACAATAACGTCGAAACTGAAAACGCATCAAAAGAAAAAGAAATACGTCTGGTCGCCATCCGGCTCTTGCACCAGATTTGCCACCGAAATAGAAATCAAAATAACCTGCTTCCACACGATGACGGAATTGACCACTGACCCTGGTTTTGACAACGATGACGATGACGATTTTTTTGGGAATCAGAGTGATGATGGGGACGAGTACGGAAACCTTGGAAAACACGAATTGATATCCCAACAGGATGAGATTGAAAAGGTAGCATTTCTTCAAGCATATGATGACCATGCCGAGTCCCGCCTGCAAGAAGGGTTTGAAGCTGGGTATCAAGAGAGTTTTGCTACAGCCTACCGCATCGGGAAAATGATGGGGAAACATATGACTATGGAGCGATTCAAGTTGATGAAAGAATCTCAATTTAAAAATTCCCCAGTAGTTCCTGTCACTGATGCTAGCTGTATGGTGTATCAATTCTCCAAGGAATTCCAAGAACGAGCAAATGACAAACAAATTGGCAATGCCATGGCAGAATCGGAGAAGTTTGAAAAGGGTTTGGAAGAAACGATACTAAAATCCTGAATCTGCAAGCACAATAGTTTTGGTGAAGTTTCACGATGCAAACGAGAAAATTAAAATGGCAACGAGCTGATGTACCTATGCTGTTGTATTCCCAGCCAACGATAGAGTCGAGACGTTTTCAATCAAAGAGTAGCAGCAGGTCATCTCCTCTTTGAGACAGCGAACAGGCATCGGTAGCAGGAGTACCCGCGCTTTTTGAGTAAACGATCGCAACACAAAACAGTTTGGATCCGTCTATTATTAGTTTTACAATAAGTAGAATCCACCTTTCGAAGCACTATGTGTCGCAGCCAGTATCAAGCACTGGATTGGGAAGATTTTCAATATACCAATTCGGATCGTCTTCGCCTTCTTTCTCTTGATCTTCGGTCAAAGAAACAAGGTGAGCATTATTAAGGTTGGCACTGGTCGTTGTTTCGGATTTTGGAGCTTCCTCCACTCCTTTGTTGATTTCTGCTGCCTTCTTTTCCAACTGATCCTGTTCAGCTTTCTCACTGTCAATTGTCTTTTGTAGATTTGCCTTTTCTTTTCGAACCTTGTCCAGTTTCTTTTGCAAGGTGTTGCCCACCTGATAAAAATAAGAATACAAATTTTGAGCCGACGATGCTTCCATGCTAGAGACGTATATCATACCGGCTTTCATATAAATCTATTTTGAAACATACCAACTCTTCTTCACGGTCGAGTTCCACCATTAGGCGACTCTTTTCTCCTTTTAAGGTATCCAATTTCCGCATCAATCCGTTGACAGCTCGTTCTTCGTGCATTTCGGATTCCGCCTGAACCTGTGCCGCAGTCGATCTAAGTTTGGCCAAGTCCACGGCAAAATCCAACATGCGACGACGCTCTTGCTTGAGAATGAATCGCAGTTCATCTGCCGTCATTTTCAATTCCTCCTTTTCCATATCCTTCATTCGTTGTCGTTCCTGTTGCGCCGTTTGTTCCGCAACTTTATGGGTTTCCAGGAATGGCCGAGGGGACATGGGACGGAAAGAACCACCACTGATTGGAGGACTTGGAATAGGCATATGCGTTTTCGTATTATCTCCTGCATTTGGCGAAGCGCCAAGGGACTTGCGTGAGTTACGAAAAGCTGCCCCAGGGGATTTCAATGGTGACACCAAGTTCTTTCCTCTGGGGGACAGAGGATTGCTGTGTCGCCGCTGATTCCTCGGTGAAGGTTTAGGGTCGACTGTGATTGCTGCGGCTACATTTCGAACCTCGGCGCTAGGAGATGACATGCTGGTACTATGCTGGTATCTGTTTTCTGAGCAAGGATAGAGGTCTGAGGTGTCGTTATGATTTGGGGAGGGATTCCCACGAAAATCTATTTGATTCTTTAGAACCTGTTCTCTTTCGGAGAACCCGGATATTAGAAATGGCCACTTCATTCCCTCTCATGACTGACTATTGCACCTACTGTACCTTTGCTTATTCTTGTTAAGATTCCACAGTACATTAGTTTCTCGTTTACAATAGTATTATCAGAGAGGGACTTAAACTAACTGAAAATTTAACACACAAAGGCAAGTGCGTGGGCTTGGAATCATCATCAAAAGATTCCAAGCAGCAAAACTGTGACCAGCCTAAAAGTATCCGAAAAAGATACAGTCGCTTTCCTTAGGCGTTAGCTTCCTCGGATTTATTTGGAGCAGCGTCCTCACCACTAGTCTCAGCAGGAGGGGCGGTCTCTTCAGCACCAGCTTCAGCTGCTTCCTCCTTGTCTTCTTCTCCAGCGGCAGACTTGCCTTCGCCTTCATCACCAGGTTCGTCGTAGGAAGGTGGTGCAATACCAACCTTGCTCAAGATCCAGAAGGTACCTTCCAAAACAGCAAAGGACAGCATACCTCCAATCAAACCATAGGCGATGGAGTAGGTCAAAGGCATGAGCATGACCGTGATGAATGCGGAAATGGCGTGAGAGTGAATGTGCCATTTGATCTTGATCAAAGATCGAGACATGAGAGCTCCAACAATGATCAAAGATCCACCAGTGGCCCATGGTGGAATACTGGCAATGATGGGAGCAAAAAAGATACTCAAAAAGAAAAAGAATCCGACAATGACAGCGGTAAGACCAGTCTTGGACCCCGCTTCGACACCGGCACCACTTTCAATGTAGGATGTGACGGGACTGAGTCCAAACAAGGATCCAACAATGGTGGCAATGGCATCGGCGGAAAAGGCCCAGCGACTCTTGGGGAAATCACCATTTTCGTCGACAACTCCCATGGAAGAAACAATGGCGAGAAGAGTACCAGAAGTATCCAAAAAGTCGACATACAAAAAGGTGATCAAGGCGACGGCAACTTGCTTCAAGTCATCTGAGAAGGGAACCAATAGTTTGTCCAACTTTTCAATGGAAACGACTTGTTGGAAGTATTCGTATCTTGCGTTTCCAGCGTCATTGTCAGGAAAGTAGGTAATCTGAAGGAATTTAGAGAAAATGAATTTGAGAGACGGCACCTTCGTAGTGGTTTACACTAAACAATCATTCAGTTATTTTTGCCGTCAACACAGGCAACACTTACTTCAGTATTGCGGAACCAACTGATAATGGAAATGAAACCAATACCAACGACAAAGGCAAAGCGACTCTTGTAGGAAAGAAGGATACCAGTAAGAAGCAAACCAAGAATTCCAACCCAGGCAGTGGCACTGGTCATGGAGGATTCGGTATTGTCACAAGTGTAGGTTCCTCCAGGAATACAGTCGAATCCACCATTGTTGAAGCAAGCTTCATCGAGGGCCACCAAGGACACTCGATCTTCTTCTGCGCAGCCTCCCAAGGTGACAGCGGTAGCAACATCACCGACCACAATTCCAATACCTTCGGCCGTTTGGAAACCAAGGTGGGCCAAAAAGGCACCAATGGCAGCTGGAGTGGCATGGCGAACGGGTTCGGGAATGAGCTTGGCGACAAAGTAACGGACTCCCGTCAAGGCCAAAATCAAAAAGATGAAACCTTCAATGAGAACGGCAGTGACTGCTGCTTCAAAACCAATCTTTCCAGTTCCATGGAAACCAACGACGCCGAAACTAATAGAGATCAGGTAGAGAGCAATAATAATAGAGGAATGAATAGATGTGTTAGCTAGTGTTGTCAATGCGAACATCGTATCAGACTCTTAGTTTGTTACTTACGTAAAGTAGGCATTCAAACCCATACCAGGTGCGAGTGCGACGGGGAGGTTAGCCATGACTCCCATGACAAAGCAGCCTTTAAAAGTAGTAGGGGATGAACGGATGTTAGTCAATGTCAAGGTGGACAGCATATCAGCCTCTTTAAACAATATGCATGTAACTGCATATGTAACCTGCATGTAACTTACCGATCATGGCAGAAATGGCAGTGGCGGTAATGTATTCCCTTTTGATTGCATCCTTGCAGGCCAAGTAGTCGGGAGAGAAGATGTTTCCATCCGCAGCCACACAAGGGCCTCCACTGTCGGCCAAAATGGCAGGATTGACGGCCAAGATGTAAGCCATGGTCAAAAAGGTGGCGACCGCACCGCGAAATTCGGTCGAAAAGTTAGTTTTGCGCTCTTCGAGTTCGAAGAAGCGGCCAATTGGCGAGGCTTGGATGATATCGTTGAGACCCATGATGATGATGACAACAGCAGTAAAGTATTTGAGAGTGGTTGGTTGGTACTCGTGTGAAAATACTTCTCGACAGGATTTGTGAGGTTTGACATCGAAGATAAGAATTTTACGATCTTGTCAGTGTTCCCCCTGGTTCGAAATTTTTCTGAACTGCAAAAGTTCCTGGACGAAAACTGGAAGTATACCACGTAGAAGCTAGTACATTTCGCAGAATCTTTGAAGCCCCTTATGTCATGTGTTCGGATCCTGATTTATTGTCGCATTATGGATATAACGCAACAATTCATTTCTTCGTTGTTTTTGCGAGATCTTTGACACTAGGAACTCCTTGGACGTTCGCGTTTCAGAACACATCTATCAAAAGATACTCCAAGCGCCCTCCCCCTTCTAGACAACTCTACTGTACCATCAACGGAAGATTGAATGTTGCAAGAAAGAGCATTGAAAAGCAGTGATAGATGGAAGGCACACTAGATGGTAGAGCAAAAGAGTTCGATCTGCAAGTTCTATGGAAAGCTTTCCTTTGCTTGGTTGGGAGATGCGAGGGGAAGCAAAATCATGACGGCCAACGTTTGGATGGAAGCTTCTTCTCAAAGCGTGATCTACTATCAAGATGACATGAGAATATAGTTGGAAAGAAATGAATGATAATGAGTTCTACTGTCAATGTATTCAAGGACGGTCGCCTAAATCACAAGCTATTGGATCCGAACAACAACCACAGCAGTTCACATCACTTTTCATGCACCGCTCTGGCTGCTTATTCTGCCTTCGGCTACTAGTAATACTACTGTGAAAGAAATGTTTGACAATGAGAGTGATCTCATTGTACACAAGGACACTTCATCGTCAATGTCTCACCAAAAGCAAAGCCCCATGGATCGTTGCAACAACAATTAACCTCATTTTTCATACACTGCTCTGGCTGCTTATTCTCTCGGCAGCTACTACTACTACTACTACTACCACTACTACCACTACTACTCTAGTCAATTTGTGCGGTGTGCAATGATTTATCCAGTTGCTTCAACCATTTCCCTCTAGCAATTGATCGACCATTCTTCAACGAAAGCACCAATCACCAATCAATCATCCAGGATATTTTGGACGGTTCGATCTTTGATTTTTGAAGTCGCGAATGTCTCTCGAGAGCTGTTTTCATTATTACAGAGGCCGCTGACGGCCAGACCAAAAGATCCAATTGTGAATTGCAATTCGATTTGGTCAATTCATTCTGAGTCTGCCATCCGTCCGGACACACGCCCAAGTCCAACCAACTCTTTCTTTCGACCGGTTCATTTTTTCCTGGAATAACTAATTGACCCTCACATCATCATTGCTTCCAAGCAAGCAGACAGCCGCATACCACAAAAAGCAATCAATTCACAATCATGATTTCGGCCATTGAATGGGTACCTGAAGGTGTTGCGGATCCAAATCCCAAAAAGTATGAATTCAGTGCGGCGGAATTGGAATTGATTGAAATGATGGAAAAACATTCCATGGAACACCCAAATGAACAAACAACAACAACGCCAACTCCAGAACCAAAGAAAGAAACGAAAAAGACTACCAAAAAGAAGGTCGAATTACCAAAAGTAGAACATGATCTTCCAGCGGATCTTCGCATGGACGAATATTCCAGTGACGAAGATGAGAATGATGCCGTTCAAGGAACGACCATTGGTCGACTCTTGGTGGACACCACTGGAATTGACGAGGTCGACGACGCCGAGGCCATTATGGGGAAGAACGATGGAAAGAATAATGACGATGACGATAACGACGATGATGACGATATGGATTCTGATAGTGATGACGACTTGCATGACATTCCAGATACTCGAGAATATACTCCTCTGGATATGGCCGGTGTGAATTCCTTGGGAATTTCACACACGCCCTCCTCATATATGGATTTGAATGCAAACGATGACGATGAGGATGATGCAAGTGATATTGAAGATGTTCAAATACAGCCAGGTGATGCTCTTATCGTTGTCGCAAAAACAGAAGAGGTAGGTTTGGATATGTCTGTTGCTGATATTTTGGTATGTTAGTTGAAATTTGTTTTGACCAACTTGACGCTTCATATTTCTGTAGGACTTTGCCACACTAGAAGTAAATGTTTACGAACAAAAGACGGGCAATCTCTTTGTACACCACGATATCACACTCCCCGCATTCCCACTTTGCTTGGCTCACGGAGACATTGGGCCTTCTGGAACGGCTGGTAACTTTTGCGCCGTCGGAACCTTTGGACCAGGTATTGAGATTTGGAATTTGGATGTCTTGAATGCACTCGAACCATCCTGTGTGCTGGGTGGAGAAGATACGACCATGGCAGATGAAATTATGCGTCACAATTTGATGAATGCATCGAAAAAGAATGATACCAGATTGGACATACCTAGTAAACCAGGACTAAAGGAAGGCAGCCACACGGACGCTATCATGTCGCTGTCGTGGAATAAGGTTCACCGACAGGTGATTGCTAGTGGCTCTGCTGATTGTACTGTGAAGTTGTGGGATGTGACGAAGCCAGACACGAATGCAGGCACATTTACTCACCACAAGGACAAGGTTCAATCAGTATTGTGGCATCCGCAAGAAGGAACACTTTTAGCCACTGGTTCGTACGACAAGACGGTTGCGCTGGTGGATGCTCGAGGACCGCAAGGAGATGTCAAGCGGATCAAGATTCCTGCAGATTGTGAAGCTCTTGCTTGGGATCCATGCAATCCTCAATGCTTGACCGTTGCCAGTGAAGATGGCACTGTTGCGTGTTGGGATGTTCGCAAATTCTCAGAGAAGACCCCTCTCTGGTCCATGGTGGCCAATGAATACGGTGGCGTTAGTGATATCTCGTACAACCAGTACGTGTGATTACTCTTGAATCCTGCTGTTACGATTCCATTCTATTCTTCACGCTCACGTTCAATTTTCTTCATCCTTTTACACAGACTTGTGCCAGGACTTATGGTATCTTGTTCCGTCGACAAAACTGTTACACTTTGGGATACACAGAACTTGTCGAATTCTAAACCTCACCCATGCGGAAGCAAAGATATGGCAGTCGGAAAACTATATACGGTCAACTTTTATCCTTCGTCTCCATGGCTATTAGGATGCGCCGGGGGTGGCAAGGAATTGGCGTTATGGGATCTAACGCGGGAGGCACCTATTCAAAAACGATTTGGTGATCGTGTAACTGGTGGAACCGTATACAACACTCTGGAGGAGACAACCGCAAAGCAAGAAGCCTTTGATGCCATGATGACAAAGGCCAAAGAGACGAACACAACTTCAGAAACAGACGAGACAACTCCGATGAAGAAGAAAAACAAAAAGAAAAAGCCTGGAAGCGGCAAGAAAAAGAAGGCACATAGAGCTGGAAGATGAGGATAATAATAGAGCTGTGTTGTTTTGCGTCAGTAACTTGTTGATCCAATTTAAATTAGTCCAGAAGTTTAGTCATCTTGAGGTCTACAGTATTTGTTTTTTACGGATTTCGGCCTGATTCAGTCGAATACATCATGCCCAGTTGATCAATTATTGCCCATTCTTCACGAACGACAACCTCCGGAAGCCCCAAATTTGCAGGGACTGCTTCCAAGACTAATCCCAAGAGAAACCTAAAATGTGGAGGTAGTGGCGGGGTTGGTCACACCAAAAGATGGGCGCAGTGTCCATTCAAACTTCAAAATTTGACACCAACTCTGGTGCTATACTGTAGCCATTCATCACAGTGAACATCGTCTTGCAGTCAACCTATTTGAAAATGATCCTTTAGTAGTCGAGGTAGTCATTCCGACAGAGATGCAGTCGACGCGACGCGACAGATATGCGATGAGATGTGAATGCGATACGATATACTGTAGGATGATAGATCGACGCGACGCAACTTCAACAGAAACAAGAGTATAGTTCCCATCCGGACAATATGCGGCCTCCACCGAATTAGTAACGATGGAAGGTAAAAGCTCCAAAGACGAATCATGCGAAAGAATCACAGGCGAAAGGATCTTGCCACCTTTCTTGATTCCAATTGTTTGGACATGGAAAGATCATCATCAGATTTCGACTCATCCAAAGTCTTCGATTTGGGGCGACGCTGGTGATGGCTGCTGGATAAAGTATGATTCATCGTCCAATGAAGCATTGGAAAAGGTTTATCGTGAATATGCTTCTGGACAACTGGAGCAACGACGATATGACCTTGGCACGTACACCATAGATTTTTTGGCAATGATACAAATCAATCGAAAAACCGATTTCCGCAGGAAGGTACAGAGACATGTTGGCTTTCAGCCACTGATCGAAGCTCACTACGAAGGCAGGCAAAGCGAAATATATGACGCATCACAGAGTTGCGAGCTCCTGAACAAGATCATGACTCGAATCGAAAACGAGGTTAAAGAATCGATTGACCGGGATATACATTTTGGTGTCAGTTATCAAAACGCTTCAAGAACAGTGACATATTTCAGGCAGAAAGATGTAGAGTGTTTCTTGGATGTCATCAATGACTGCAAAAGGACAATCACGCTTTGTTGCGAACGAGCTGGTGTCTCTTCTGAATATGATGTGCTTCACCCCGACAGTCGCTCCGCTGTAGAGTGCTGCCTTGGAGAAGATGCACGAGAGATGTGTATTCATCTCATTGACTTTTCAAATGAGAGATTGAAGCGATATAATATGATTGAAGAAGGAAAAGTATCAATCGCTGCAGAAACATTGCTGCCATGGCTGAGCGAATTTCAATTAATCGCTCTTCACTCAATCTCCAACGATTCTGGTGGAGGAATCGTCATGTCAGATTATTCTTCTGATGACGATTCTGTACACGTGAAGCCAGAATACCAACAGCAATCGTCTTCTGGGAAACCTGTGAAGACTATGGATGAGCTACTGGAAGTGGCTACTATGGCCCAACCGCTTTTTCGTTCCCTGATTAACAAACTGTTGAGTAAACTCGACGCAATAATGGATGGGGCACACTCTTCCAGCAAGCCGGTCGTATCATTTGTGAGCCTAAAAAATAGGTGGCGAGCGAGCGAGAAGGCGCAAGACGACTACTCAAAATTTGTCCCTGGTCCCGCCTTTTCCTGGCTGTACGACATTGTGCGTGGGAGCATTGAGTTTCACTCCGCTGCCGAAGTCATTGCTTTCGTGGGCTTGCTTGAACAAGATCAATCGATTCATATTGTGAAGGCAAAGAATCGGTTTCAGAACCCCAGCCTTACAGGTTACCGTGATTTGAATATCCAATTTCAGATTGCTGTAAACGACAGATTCAAGCACGTCTGCGAGATACAAATTCATCACAATGCCATCAAGGTCCTGGACCGAGAGCTCAACACCCACAAATTCTACGAATACTTCAGATCATACTTTGCAGGAGCCACGAATAGTCTGAAGGATAGGCTCGACGACCTTCGGATGATCGGTGGAAGCGGCACAGTAGATGAAGGCTATCTTCACTCTCTTTTGCCATCTTGTGTCGACGAAGAGCGCCTGGAAAGACTCGCAGCTTTGTTTGAAGTACAACTGACAGAATACCATTGGGCGTCAAGAACATACGCCAATCTTCTGGATCTTCGAATCAGCAAATATGGGAAACGTCATCCATCAATCGCAAGTGCATACACCAGCATTGGTAATGTTATGAAAGCACAAGGTAAACTTGAGGAGGCCGTTTGGTACTATAAAGCTTCACTTCGAAGTGATCAGTCATCGGCCATGGTTGTCGCATCGACGTATCGAGGAATGGCCAGAATCTTGGCAGTCGAAAAACAGACTGACAATGCTATGGAATTATTTCAAAGTGCTGTCGAGATTCTTGGTGAAGTCCCAATCGTGGTGGGAGCTTACGTTGATATGGCCAACCTGTTACGAGACAATAACGATTGTATCCGAGCCATGGAACTTTACCAGAGGGCGTTGGAAATCGCAAAAAAGGGCGTTGGAAATCGCAAAAAATCAATACGGGGAAGAACATCAGCATGTGGCCACCATCCTGCAGAATATGGGTCGAATTTCAAGTCGGGAGGGAGCGTACGACGCTGCTATTCAGCTGTACCAAAAGTCACTTGAGATTTCGAAAAGGACCCTTGGTGAGGATCATCTGTCGGCTGCAGAAATATACCAAAGCCTTGGGCTTATCTTTCAGCAACAAGGGGACCTGGATGGAGCATACAGCTTGTACGAAAAGGCACGTCATATGTACCAAGCAGGATTGGGGGCATGGCATACACTGGTCGCAGACTCGTATGATATGCAAGCTGGTGTACGTTGGCAGGAATGCAGGTTTTCTGATTCCAGATCATTGCATGACCGGGCTCGCAAAATTCGCTCGGCTCTCCAAGGTCGCAACTCTCGCTCCGCTCTTCGTGATGGCAAAAGTAATTTTAAATTTCCCTCGTCGTCTGGTGTTATGGTTACAAATGATTTGGGCTTTGGCATTAGCAAGAATAATGTTGACGAGGACCATCCATATTATGCCTATGGTTTGGACTGCGTTGCTCGCTCGTTGATGAATTCGGAGAATCCCGAAGAGGCCCTGCTGCCCATTGAAAAGTTGATCGAGGTCATTAAAAAAACCTTTGGAGATCAACACGTTCTACTCGCGAACGTTTATCAGAACATGGCAACAGTGTTGCGCCGCTTGGGAATGCTTGACGAGGCTATGGAGTCTTATGAAATGTTTCGATGTATAGTGGAACAAGCGAGGGAAAGAGAGATTGCGGTCGACCGATGCTCCGAGTGGGCGCGAGCCTACGAGGACATTGCCAGTCTACTTTTGCAACGAGAGCGTACTTCCCGAGTTGCTGATGCATTTGGTGCACTCCTAGCAGCCCTAAAGATGCGCAAGCGAGTTGCCTTGGAAAGCAACCATGAGATGCTTTATATCATATCCACCTTTGAAAGCATTTCAAAACTACTATCTGAAAACAACAAAGCAATGATGATCGAAACGATGTATGAAAATGAACCCCTGGCGAGAACCAGAAATAGAGTCGTTGCAGATGGATTGGAGCTATATCAGGGAATGATACGGAGAAGCCTTTGTCGGGATTCTTGTCCCGCGAAAATGCTCTTGGATGCGATCGCCAAAGTTTCCGAGGCAAATGAAAATGACGACGATCAAAACAGCATCCACTCCAAGGTTTGCAACCTTCAAAACCTCTTGACAGAGAGAAACTACAAAGAACTTCATTCCACAGTGGTGGAGCTCTTGGACGACCTTAGAAAAGGTCACTAGCCACCTATTTCATGATTGATTTTAGCGAAATAATCACGACAGTCGAAACAACCATTCTCGATCCCATTTTGTGTGCGTGGATCGGAAAAAGAAAAAGAGTCTCGGCACTGGATTTCTACGAAATAAAAAAACTCTTTTTGGATTTGAAAGCAAAAGAACTGAATTGATTCCGCATTCATTCCGGTGCAATGAGGCATTGGAGAAGGCTTTTATCGGGAATGTAACAAAAAAATGGACAATGACAACGTGACCTCCTCCGCACACCATTGGTTTTTTTTGCAATAGCCTTCTGGCGCCTTTTTTGCTTGTGTTTCCTGATCGCAGTTAGTGGGCTTTGGTGAGAAGCTGATCTTTTACGGTGCTGCCACATTGGTGCTGCGTGCTCTACTAATCAATAGTAGGTGCCAAAATGTTGGGGAAATATCATGACAATGTATCAAACCTTCTCCAAAGATAGTGGAGAGGCAACAGTGTTGGAACAAGTTGGAAGCGATGCTCCGCCGGCAATATTGCGGGATGCAACTAAAGCCTTGCTCAAGACGCTAGGATGTAATCAGTATGTGTTTTACTGCCTATTTCATTCAGATTTGCTACTGTACGAGTAGTTCCAACAAAATGCCTTTACGATTATTGATATTGTCGTCACGCGCGTTGCGTTTGCGTATTCGTGACTGAGAATCCTGTAAGACTCCCAAGAGAATTCCGACACCTTCGTAGAAATCTACGGGTGGTGGTAGAAAATTGGCATCTTCTGATTTCCTCGCACGAACCAACTCAACTGTCAACAAATACAACATTGGAATGCAAGCACAATCCAACTTCCACGTACCCAATCAATCCACTCAACTCAATCCCAACCCCAATCCCAATCTAGCTACAAACATATACATATACAAATACAAAGATGGAAGAAGCCCTGTTACCGCCTTCCACCACTACATCAGAAGAAGTCGATCATCAACCTGTGGTGACCATCACGACTGCAACCTACGACAATGGCGATGAGGAAGAAAATGACAGTGGTGTTTACAGAGAAGGGACCATTGCGTCGGCCAGATTCAATATCCTGAGCACCATGGTGGGAGGAGGTTGTTTGTCGTTGCCATTGGCCTTTCAACAGTCTGGAAATTCACTCTTGGGTCCACTCTTGTTGGTCTTGACAGCTCTGATTACGGATTTTTGTTTCCGACTCTTGGTTGCCTCCGCCGTTCACTTGAAATGCCCGCATTCGACACGACCCGGAACGGACAGTTTTGAATCCATCACTCAAGAAGCCTTTGGCCCAAGAGCTTTCATCATGTCTCAATTGCTAGTTTTTTTCATGTGTTTCTTTGGTGCCGTCGGATATTCCGTTTTGCTCCGGGACATGATGGAACCCATCAATGACGCCATCTTGGAGCACTTGAGTTTTGTGAAAAGCGAATGGATGACCAAAAACTTGACCATGTTTGCCGTCATTTTTCTCGTGACGCCCGCCACGACCTTGCAAACCTTGACCTCTTTGAAAAATTGTGGCGCCATGTCCATGTTTTCCATTTTTGTGCTGGGATCCTGCATTGTCTTTCGATCCGTCCAATGTCAAGTCAACAATCCCAGTCCCGAACCCTGGTATTCCTATTTGACCTTCTTTCCAGAATCTCCAGGAGAACTCTTGGATGCCTTGCCACTCTACATTTCCTGCTTTGTCTGTCATTACAACATTTTGCCCGTGCACAATGAATTGCAAAATCCAACCCCCAAACGAGTCTCTTGGTGGCTTCGGACCACCACCTGGGGTTCCTTTGGACTCTATCTAATCATGGGGTGGACCGGATCGGCTTATGGACACTGCACTCCTTCGGGCAAGGTACACGGGAATGTGCTATTGGATTTTGACAAGAAGGATCCACTGTTGTTGGTGGGACGCATGTGTTTGGCTGTGACCATTACCTTGGCATTTCCCATGTTGGTCATTCCAGGGCGCGACATTGTCATTCGATCGTACTTACCATCAAGCAATGCTAGTGGTACAACAGAGACTCCAGTGGATCCATCCGCAGCTGACGACTTGCAAGAACCTCTCTTGTCACAAGAAGAACAAGCAGATAATGCCGAGACTGCTGCTGCGACTGGTGATGAATTCAATGACGAAGAGGCACCATTGGATGACGCTGGTTCCCAAAGTGGGGGCAATACGGATGGCGCACCTCCTTCTACTTCCTACATGGTCCGGTTGTTGGTCTCGATTGCCATTTTCTGGACGGCAGGAACAGTCGCCAGTTTGGTGGATGGCATTGAAGTTGTTTGGGATTTGTTGGGATCGTCACTCAGTATACTCCTCAGTTTCCTAATCCCCTGTGGATCCTACTTGGTGATTACCTCGAACGAAACAACAGAGGAGACGTCATCGTCGTCATGGCTCGACGATGCCAGTGAAGATCGCAAACGATTTTGGTCCAAGATCCTTTGTTGGGTGTTGATTGGTACCTTCACTCCACTCATGATTGTGTCGACGGCGAATGCGGTTCACAATACCTTTTCGGGGGGGAATTAGACCAGATGAATGCAATGAATGCAATGGATGAATCAATCATCTGTCAACGACTGAAGGAATAAATATGCTACGATGGAATATACAGAAACGAATATTTCACAACGCTAGCTAGAACAGTAGGGATCCATTTTTTTATTATAACATTATATTGGATCACATCATTCAGTACCGACTGAAAACTACAGTACTATCCAAACTTGAGTCGCATTTGCTGTAGATTCCGTTTCTTGGTCTTGCGTTTCTTTTGAAACCACGGTTGTTTTTTGGGTGGTGGGGATGGAATTGTGTTGGACGAATCATCAGTATTGTCTTTATCATTGGTATTGTTGTCATTTTGGGTGAAAGGTGGTGATAATAATGGCCTCTTTTTGGTGTTCCTTGTTTGTGCGGAAAAGAGAGGGTCGGAGAGTATGCTGTCGGCTGGTGATTGTGGCGATTGTGGCGATTGTGGTTGCTTGTTCTTAGGGAACAACGAGGGAGGAGAGGATGACACAGTGTGGGTTGTATGCGACTCCTCGGTTTTGGTTCGTTGGTGCGGTAGCCCTTGGATCCAACCATTAGACTGCTGGCTTTGTGAATTGGCAAGATCCTGTGTCAACGGAGATATTGGATCTGCTTTCCACTGATCACGCATTGGACTGCGATGATTCTTCATGTTCGAATCAATGTTTTCGTTGTTTGAGCACGTGACTGTAGTTGGACGCTTCACATTTTGGGCCTGGTCCCGCCGATGGGCATCATTTTGAAAAGGTGGTGTGACTTTAGTGGGCGCCAATTCTGTAGTGTTGGATTTTGCTGCTTCTGGAGGCGACGACAAGGGTTTGGCATTTGAATTTTTAGCTCGAGTCGCTGCTGTTGGACTTGTCGTCGTCGTCGTCGTCGCAGCATTGGATATATGATGATCACGAGACTTCCTTAACCTTAACCAGTCATTTGTATTAGGCAAGTCTTCTGTCAAGACTGTTTCTTGACTGTCGAATGACGATGCAACAGACAACGATTGCAATTGTGATGCATTTCGTTGCCTCAAGGCCACCCAATCGGCGGTATGGGGCAAATCTTCTGTCAATACAGTCGCTTCAGATTCTGGTGAGCTAGGAGCATCCTGGACTTCAAGAGCTTGGTCTTGTTGCGATGATCCTTCCATAATATTCTGAATGGTGAGCGAGTCAGTCAGTGAAATGATGATTTTCAACTTTCGCGCTAAACATATATTGCATTTCGTCTACAGGGACTATGTAAGTCCAGTCTGTAATGTACACGGTATGGCCCAGATATCGTGGTGTAAGAATATCCAGTACCCACTTCGACGATGTTTTATTTTATTATTAGCGATATCGCGCATCCTACACATGGTAAGGTTATGGTATCGAGTCCTGGAACACCAAGTGCCAATTCGAACTTGGAAACGAATGCCGACTGTCTGCATCGACAGGATAAAGATGGTGGACGTATGAGGGTTTCGGCACCAGTTTAGGGTGCGTGGGGCTGAAGGGCTACCGATAGCTAAGTATCGAATAAGGGAGAGTGTTGGAAGGTATATTTGAGACTTATTAGGTAGCGTGGTGCGCCTACCAGGCTACCTAATCTGAACCCGCCCCCCGCAAGTTTTGCCCCCGAGCTGCTTGCAAGATGCGGGTACTAGGTTTACTCATGGGGCCTACTTTTGCCCCCCTAAAACGAAGCACTCTTTTTCGTCCTCAAAATTCTTCGATCCAAAGTGGATTCTGGAACTCGTCCTTACTGTTGATGTATTCAAGGAAGGGAACTTGAAGGCGGCTGTCATGGCCATCAAAGAGACACATTGGTGTTGGTCCGTGCAGGGTCCGTGGGTAGACCCCAAGTTTGTCCAATGTCTCCAAAGCTTTCTTGAGAATCTTGGAAGTCATCGATACCTTTGGAGACACCGCAACCATACCAGGCACTTCCTTTCCTCTGAAGACACATACTGGAAGTCCTGGAAGCGCCTTTCCAGGACCATAGTTCTCTTCTATTGTCTTGGTCCCGTCATATATTGCTTCAGATTGGTGATCAAATCCGGTGTAATCTTCAAAAGCCAACTCTTTGCCAGCAATGATAACAATGCACATCACTGGATCCCCACTTGCAGCAGTCAGACCCATCACAGTGAAGCGACCACTGGCCTTTGTACTCAGCAGTTCCACCTTTTGACCATCCGCACTTTTGATGTATGTCTCGCCGCCGATGTGCCCATCTTGGTCTTGGGCAGTATCAGTTCCGACTTCGTCTCCAAACAACAAATACTCTGGATGTATGAGCTTAATGGTGCACTTGTGGCCAGCTGCCTTATCCTCAGAATCAACAATCTGCCCCTCTTTGCCAACCCAATAGTGTTCACTTTCTGGTAAGCGCACTGCAATTCCAGCTCGCAGCATTTGCTCGTACACTAACTCGTACATTTGTTGGACGTTCTCATATGTTGTCCAGTCCTTCCTTGCTCTGTCCTGCTTGCTTCCTCTCCCAGTGTTCAAGATATCTCTATGTCTATTCATGAAACCTTTGAACCATCTCTTGCCGAGCAACTCTGTTGGTTGAACTTTGATCTTGCTATGAAAGTCTTTCAACTTGTCTTCTAGTTCGGATCCTTTTACAAGAGAATTGGCCAAAGCAATGGTTTCTGGTTGTGTCAATGGTTGTCCAGCTTGCTGCCTGTATAGTGCAATGTTCAGGATGTATGGCTCAAAGGCAGCTACTGGCGAAACGGGCCCTCGTTTGGTTGCAATTTTGTTTCCCCGCACTCGACTCTGGATCGTGGTCTTTGGAATCAAGAAATCGGTTCCGCCAAGTCCCAGCTCTTCCATTACAGCATCATGTATCTTTCCATAAGCACCTTTAGTCAGCCGCTTTGGCTTAGCAGCAGCCATAGCATTTGCATAGCGCTCTGTAAGCACAATCTTTGCCAAATCTTTTTTCTTTGCCACATCCTTGTTGGCTTGTTTGGTTGATCCCTTTGGGCGGCCCACTTTCTTCTTGCGCTCCTCCTCCTGTTGCTGTGCCACTGTAACAGCTTTCACTTTCTGTTACTTAAGGATTCTTGTCTTCTTGCCTGTCACCATGTCCCTTGTCAACCACGGATAGAGTTTCTGCTTTTGTTTAAACAAAGCTCCGTATTCACCATAATGATCCTTAAAAGAAAGCGCTCTGGCTTGGAGATCAATGAGCGTCCTGGCCATTTCTTCAACAATCGGTCTTCTGATCCGCTTGGTCTCTACATCTGACCCCTCTGGAGCTACTTGCGTACGCCTCTTGCTTGACTTCCCCATCGTTTCTTTCTGTTTTATTGGTGGGAGATTTGAAGAAGAATGGGCTAAATCAGTGTCTTTTTTATGGTACTATTCTACGTATGCTACGTGATGAACGAAATTGAAAGACTACGCCGTTTTCTGGCGCGGCCTCAGAGCGCCCAAATAAAAAATATGCAATTTTTATCTACAGACCGTTCTACCAGAACTCAATGGGGAAACTAGCCAATCAGCATGTAGACTCCTTAAATAACAAGCTTCCTGCTGATCTGCTTGGATTTTTATGGAACCTTGTCCTTCAAGCTCGGCAACTTCGAAGGGGTGATTACGGTCCTTTTTATCTTTTTTAGACTAGAGGCATAGGCCTGTCTGTGTATTATAGCCCTCTCAGTAGGAGAGCTATACAGCCAGCCGTTTTTACGAGCGACAATTGCTAACGAACAACAACACGTTTTGCACTGGTACACCTTCGAATTCGTGGTAATACACATTTATATATATCAAGGCCAGACGGGCCAGAAACGGTGTGCAATTCCACCTGTTCTTCGTGTCGGAAACAAAATCTTAGACACGGAGCTCGAGTGTGTAAGAAGTATCGCCGTGGCCTAGTTAAATCATCTTCGAAGTGTGTCCACCTTCGAAGTGTGTCCACCTTCGAAGTCGTGGTAATAAAAGAAAGAACCATTCATGTCAAGGCCAGACAAGGCCAGAAACGGCGTGCAGTTGTACGGGTGTTAATATCACAACCTTGGTAAAAAAGCTACAGTGTCGTGGGAATCGCAATCGTATCATTTGCCAGATAGATTCCACCAGTTCTTCGTATCGGAAACAAAATCTTACGAAGCTAGTATCGCCGTGACCCAGTGAAATCATCATCGAAGTGTGTACACCTTCGAAGTCGTGGTGATAAAAAGAAACATTCATGTCAAGGCCAGACAAGGCCAGAAACGGTGTGCAGTTGTACAGGTATCAATATCATTTGCCAGTGGGACCTGCGACGTGGGTCTCGACTGCCTCATGACTTTTGACTGAAGAGCAGTACGCTAAGTTTCGATCATGAGGAGATGCATGAATGAATCTGCGAAATCTACAAGCTGTCAGCATCGCTTGCTACAGTGAAACGCTGCATCGTATTCTGATAAATGAATCTATAATGCGTTACACTAAGCTGTTACACCATACAAGATTATTCGAGTCTGAATGTTGGCAGATCTTTGATTAACTTCTTTTCATTGACGGCATCATTAACTTGTTGCACACTAGAATCGATTGTACCACCAAGTTTTGATCCTGCTTCCTTGGCAGAGTCAGGCAACGCGTCGTCCGTGTTGCTGTTGACTGCCTCCTTCTTTTCCTTGATGTCTTATATCGCGGGCACTGTTCATTTACGTCTCGGCATTGTCGACAGCATTATCGAGCATACTTCCAGGGGTTTTATCTTGATTAGGAGCCATGATTTCTTTTCTTTTCGTGTTTTCTTTTCACTGAAATGTTTTGTAACATCCAATGTTGGAAATTGTGAGATGCATTTGCAATGATATGATGACTAATAATAGATGATTGATCGATTCATACGCACTTTTTCTGATTTGTCAGACGCGGAAGCGCAAGAAGTATAGATGTATCTCATGACTTTATTATGAGTATGTACTCTACTGTATTCTGTAGTGATTTGAGAAGATAAAACCCCAGCGTGATGATGTCCTGAACTATAGTCGATGACTTTTTGTCCAATAGTGATCTATTCAGCAAATCCAGTTCGTCTTTAAGCCAATGCACACATCGATTTGGCACAGCAGACTTTGCCAGCACCGTCTACTTATCGAGATGCCCATGATGATATCATTTGACGCTGACGCCATCGTTGTGAGCGCACTAGTGTCCTAGAGCTTTGTCCTTGTGTTGCTGGCTTTAGCCATAGTATCGTCATGAATCAATCTGCTACATATACCAGCTTTAAAAGCATCAGTGTGGCCCGCAAACTACGACAGTAAAACAGTGCAAAGTGCTATTTTATAAAATTACGCAGTCGAACATTGTTCGAATCTGAATTTTCGGCGGCTGTCTCGACTACTTCTTTTCATTGTCGCCGCTGATGGCATGTTTCACTTTTTCCACACCCGAATCAATCAAACCACCAAGGTTTGATCCGGCTTCTTTCGCAGAGTGGGGGATCGCATCTCCGATCTTTTCTGTGATGGTTTTCTCTGCTTCCTTCTGTTCCTCAGTCTTGGTGGCTTCGTCGACCTGGGCGCGCACATGGTCCATTCCTCCCTTAGTACTCTCAATGGCATTGTCGAGCATACTTCCAGGGGGGTTGTCTTGATTCATAGGAGCCATGATTTCGTTTCTAAAATTGCTGCAGTCTTTTAGTATCTAATGATTTTGAATTGTGAGATATATTGATAGTAGTAATCTATAAGGAGTGAATGCGTTTGCGCCCTTATTCTTCGAATTCTGAGACACGAAGCTCATGCTGCGGGCTCAACTTGACTCACGACCGTTTCTGGCCTCGACATAAATGTTTATCATTACCACGACTTCGAAGGTGTACCCACTTCGATGATGTTTTTACTGGGTCACGGCGATTTCGTGTGTCTAAGATTTTTCTCTGACACGAATCTTCTTGTCATCTATCCTATTGAACTTTCGATCAATATTGTTCAGCAACTCCAGCTAGTCGTTGCACCCATGTCAGCAGTTTATCACCCTTGCCAGCATCTTGTATTTTAGGATGATCATGGAATATCATTTTTGACGCTGCTTTATAGTGGTCATCTGGAGGACACATAGCAAACAGGATGAATGGACGATGTGCCTTCTTGCAGCATCACTGGGGTGCGAGAGATATTCTTACTTTACGTTTGTACATTGGAACTTGAATGTTTGGCAGATGCTTAGCTTACTTCTTTTTGTGGCTTCCTTGACCTTCTCGCGCACTTCTGTCATTTTGTCAGTACTCCTGTCAATGGTGGTTTCTGGAGGTTAAAATCATTACGTTATTAGAGAGTACGTGCTATAGTTGATAGTGAAGATTATTTAAGTCTCAAGAAAGTTCGTCAGATATTTGATTTACACTTTGCACTGTCATCGGGCCTGATGATGGTATTCATAACCTTTTGCACAACCGAATCGATCATACCGCCAAGTGTTGATCCGGCTTCCTTCGCAGATTCACGAATCTTTTCAGAGGTACTCCTTTCCTTGGTGGCATCCTTAACGTATTGCACACCCAAATCGATCGCATCACCAACTTGCGATCCCGCTTCCTCAGTAGACTTGGGTGACGAGTCAACCGTCTTTTCAGTGTTGCCACTGACGGCTTCCTTCATATCCCCAGCGGCTTCGATGACCTTCTCGCGTAGATTGTCCATTCCTGTCTTGGTATTGTCACCCATCTTTTCAGTTTTGCTGTAGAATGCTTCCTTCATATCATCAGTAGCATCGGTGACCTTCTCGCGCATACTGCTCATTCCTGTCTTGGCATTGTCAACAGTATCATCGAACATACTTCCAGGGGTTTCATCGTCAGCAGCCATGATTTCGATTCCTTGGCTGGAACGAACGAAAAGGAAAATTGAAATGGCAATAGCATAAAGGGGATTCATTTTGATTTTGGTTTGTGATATGATGTGTAATAGATTGACTGTTTTCTGGTTTCTGTAGTGTTTTGTATTATCCGATGATTTGAAATTGTGAGATACCGGTATATTTCCTGATCGGTTCATATATCTACAGGTATTCTTCGTGTCTCAAGACACGAAGCTAAAGCGGGACTTATTTTAGACTCACTCACTCACGACTGAAAAAGTGTTCCTGCTGATGCTTGATGCTTCAGGTAACACTGTAGTGATCGAAAACTGCAACATACCCTGATAAATGATTCTAGCAATGTGTTACACTACGTTGTTACACAATCAAAGATTGTTCCGAGCTGAACTAATGTAGGTATGTGGTGGGTTGTGGTGTGAAGCTGGTCCTGCGAAGCATGCGATCCAAAGGACCAGTCTCCGATATCCCGCTTCGCGGGATATCGGAGACTTGCTCGCCTACTGGATGGATGAAATTTTCATCCGTCCAAGGCCTATCAGGGATGTGGTGGGAGGGAAATACAAAGAAATAACCTTATGTTTCGTGATGCATAATATAATACTCGCACATAAGTTAACTGATCGGACTTTTGGTTGCTGAGCAATTGAAATGCTTTTTGTGGACGGCCGTCCGACCGTCGTCAGAAAGATGATGGAATCCAATGATTCGATCTTATTCCTTGAAGGCCGCCCAATTATAAAGGACTTTTTTTAAAAATAAAAGGCATATCATATTAATAACAGGGATGTGGTGGAAGGGAATTAAAGACATAACCGCATATTTCTTGATGTACTATATACTCGCAAACAAGCTCGATGAACTGATCGGATTTCGCCCCTGAGCAATGCTGTATTTCGACGGTCGTCCGACGAATTCTCGGTTTGCCTTGCAGCTTTTCGTAGTATTTAAAAAGTTTGTCCAGAGAGATTTCTAACCTCTTTCAAGAGCTCTTCGGTCATCTTGCAGTCGCCATAATAATGACAATTGGAATATTGCAATAGAGCAAGTGATAGAAATGGATACAATATCTGAGAGCGGTAAGACTTGATTTATCTTCAGCAATTGTAGCAAATGATCATTTGAGTGTCAGTGTCATGTCGTATGAAGGTGGTGGGACGGTTCTTCCCGATCAACAACCAAGCACAGAAACAATCGATCAAGCTTTTCTGTTGCAACAGGTGGACTTCTCCGTCAGTCTTCCATCTATTCATCAAGAGAAAGGTACCGACAGACAATGGCAGAATTCTGGAAGCGCAACTACAATGAGTTCCGCAAGGCATGCTAACGATGCTGTGCCAGCAAGCAGTGGTGCCACATCGCTATCGTGTCTAACCATGGAAGAAAACGTGACGATCGGTTTCTCGACAGAGGAGTCGGGTGACCTTGTCATGAAGGACACCGATACCTTTTGCCAAGCCATGGCAAAGTATGATGCCATGTTGAGGAATCAGGTGGTGTACCGGGGTCTACCCAAGCATCCGGACACGACAGAAATTTACATCAAGAAAGGACGTCTCTTCTGGAGGAATGGAAAATGTGCCGAAGCAGTTGAAATGTATGAAAAAGTTCTTGAGATTAACAAGTTGGTAACGCCTGGGGTTGATCCCTCGTGGGTCTCGGGAGCGTATTGTCACATGGCAGAGAACTTGGAATTTCGAGGAAAGGCTATGAAATTGCATAGGAAGCTGTTTGAGTTTCAACTGTCGACTGCTGGTGAGGACAGCGTAGACACAGCGAATGCATACGACAGAATGGGGCACGTTCTTCAATCGTTTGACAAAATCGACGAAGCACTCGAATGGTATACGCAGGCACTGAAGATCCGATTGAAGACTGCTGTTGACGACTTGGATTTGGCAGATGCCTACGAGAGCATGGCGAAAAAACTTGGTGGCTGGCAGTCCCGGAAAGTAGGCAGAGACGAAGATGCGCTTAAAATGTGGGAGAAAGCACTTGAAATTCGATTGCAGATTTTGGGAAACAATAATGAAGCTGTAGCCCATTCCTACGAAGAAATGGCTGACATAATTAGAAACCGCATTGTTTATGACCGCACGGGAAATGGCGAAGAAGAAGCCAAAATGCGTAGCAAGGCGCGAGAGATTCGATTGAAAATTGCCGAGCGTGACAATCCAGCCGCGGCAGATGCTCTCGAGAAGATGGCTCGTTCTCTTCTAGATGGGTGGGAAGAACGGGAAGCAACCAAAATGTACATGAAAGCGATTTCAGTTCGAAAAAGGATTTCTGGAGAAGATCATGAAGCTACAATAGACGCCTACGAGAGAACAGCAGATGCTCTGAAATACAATCATTGGTTCAAGCACGACAAATCAGTCGAATTGCGTCGCAAGGTACTGGATTTTCGATTGATGACAGTTGGGCCTGAACATCCAGATACAGCCAGGGCCTACAAGAATACAGCAGTAGCTCTTATTGCGATCAGAGGCAACGAAGATGAAGCAGTCAGGATGTATGAAAGAGCGATTGAGATATACATGCTTGCCGCTGAGGGTGATGCCTCTTCGATTCGATATGCCTTTAGGGGAATCGCAGATATCCTGACGAGTCAAAGGAAATACAAAGAAGCAATTGCAATGCACAAAAAGGCGATGGATTTTCAATTGAAAACCGTTGACCACGACCATCTAGATATGGCAGAGACCTACGGAAAATATGCTGATGCTCTCCTACGGGTTAAAGGCAAAGAACATGAAGCGGTCGAAATGTGCAGAAAGTCGATGCGAATTCGGTTGGAGGAAAGCGTGTTTGATGATCCAATTCTGAGAAAAGACTACGAGAGACTGGGAGATTGTCTTCGACGGCTTGGGGGCAAGGAGGGCGAAGTAGTTGAAATGTACCGGAAGTCCCTGGACCTGGTACTGCTTGAAGAAGGAAATTTTGGTGAAAAAGCAAAAGCCTGCCTCCAACTGGCAACTGCACTTGAGAAGATTGACGGCAAAAGAGACGAAGCAATCGAAATGTATCGGAAGGCCATGGAGATGAGCTTACAGGTTGAAGGACATCTTGATTCAAAAGCAATAGCCTACGGCGAATTGGCATCTGCACTTGAAAAGGTTGGCGGCAAATGGGACGAGGCACTCGACTTGTATCGGAAGGCGCTTAAGGTGCTATTGAAGCACAAGGAACAAGGGAATTGTGGGTATGCGGTGAGCAAAGTGGAGAAGAGATTGATTTTCTCTATACAACGTCTTGAAGGTAGCAACATAATCGATCGGTGTTGGAAGTTTTGTTGCAGAAAGTGGGACAAGATGACCCATCCACTCCTGATGGTTTTAGAACAAGCTCTCCAGGGCGGGGAAATCGGTATAGTGGGTTGATCCGGCAGCGGTACCGGTACTTGCACAGGATGAAAATAAAAGGGCCTGCTGCTATGCGATGTCTTGAAGAAGCCTTCGACGACAATGCCGCATTGGGAAGTATTGCTGTTATGGAGTGAGTCCAACCGTTTGAAGATGCTCGGAAAGGTCACTGTTACTGTCTCAAGCAAGGAGACATTGCAGGAGTTGAGAATTCACCATTATCCACACTTAGCAATTGCAGGACTAATAATTATTCCGAACTATATTTGACACTTTCAACTTATTATACAACTTACAGTTTTATCGCGCTCGATCGTGATATTACAACTCGGCCATTGTAGTTCAATTCTTCAGCCCATATGTTTAGGACAACAATTCAGCTTGACGTTGCTCTTTCCAAACACTCGGAAACCAATAAAATGATACACCATGATACTTGTCTTCCCAGGCCATTCCTTCCGAAAGCAATAGTTTCATGACTCGATCCGCCCGTTCCTGATTCCAGCCCAACTGTGTAGCAATGTCATCAGTAGTAATACAACCTTCTCCACTTTCCGCCAGTGAAAATACTTGGACATGATCCGAATCCAGTTCCGTGGGCACCGAAACAATCATGGAAGTGGTTCCAATCTCCATGATTCGAAATCCTCCACCCAGAGACTTCAATTTGTTAACGGCAATGGGGATGTCACCCTTGTGCACCTTTTTCTTCTTGTTGCGACTCAATATCTCTTGGATTTCCGAAACGGCAATAATGCCACCATTCTTGGACCGGGTGGCAAAGCAGACTTCGGCAATTTTGACGGCGAGTTCGAAATAATAGTCTCCCATGCCAACTCCCAATGTCTTGGACCAAAAGGACCTCCGCGACACTAACGGGTCGACACCGAGAGGAGCACACATTTGCTATTATTTGATATTGTTGTTTGAAGGTCAGATTAGATGAACGCATAAGAACAAAGAATAAATCGAGGCACAGCATCAGTCATCTTTGTTGCTTACCAAAAATTGCTGCCGAAAGGCCGGATCGTCTTGAATTTCCGTTTGATGGTCTTTGGCAAACTCTTGCAGTTTGACTCGTAATTTTTCCACGGTATCCAATGCCGATTGCAGCGAAGTGGCCTTCATTTCATCCGCCTTTTTGGCAAACTGCTTCTTGGCAGCACCACTTCGGCCCACTCCCACTCCTCTGCGACGATGGGACATGCTTGTTTTATTGATTCGGTAAAAGACTGGTTTGAAAATGATGATGATCAAAACTTATTACGAGTTTTCAATTTTCAAGGCAATAAACACTATCAAAGTACCAATAGGCTCCGTACACGATAGACATGGGTGATGCAATGTGTTACGCCTCATCTTTTTTCACCTGCAGTAGATTCTGACCTGACTGCCTAGGGGAGTTTGCATCTCTATTCTATTCCAGTAGTCAAAATAGGAATACACAAATTGTTACTTCTCAAAGCATTTCCGATTTCAATAGTACATTGGTCACAACGAACGATCATCATAGTACCACCACCATTCCTCATCTATCAGCCACCTCACTTCATGGCTCGTACTGGATCCGTCGTCTTTTGGTCTTTCGATCCTGATCATGGTATTCGGAACGTCTCTCCACCAGCCATGGATATCGGCAAAGGAGTAGCCAGACAACTTCCGTCTTTCCTTGGCCAGCGGCGTGATACAATGGGGTCGTTTCCAAATTTGGTTTCCTTTCTATTGCTGCACCGCGATCCAACAACAGCCGAGCCACCTCCACAAAACCGCTATAACACGCCTGATCCAATGGCGTAAGTCCAAAAGAGTCTGTTGCTTCCATATCCACACCTCCATCCAAAAGCATTTGGGCGGCCTCCAGTCGACCCTGACTTGCAGCAAGATGCAATGGTGTTTGTTTCAATTCATTCCGTGCTTCCAAGTTGGCTCGATGACTAGGACCCAGAAATAGTTGTAGAACCTTTACGTGACCATGGAATGCAGCATTGTGTCAGGGTGTGCAGTCAAATCTGTCCCGAGCTTCCAAATTGGCATGATGATCCAGAAATGCCTGAGCCACTCTTTCATCACTCGTATCATGCAATGGGGTTGCATCGTCTGCTCCACACGTTGTCTCAGTATTGGCACCTTGACGCAATAAAAATTTAACCACTTCGGCTTGCCCTTTTTTCGATGCTTGATGCAACGGGGTTGATTCATCTGCTCCGGTTGTTTCGATATCCATACCGTGGTCTAATATGAAGAGTCGCACCAGATCGACATGCCCATTGTTGCACGCGTGATGCAATGCAGTATTGTCGTCATACCTCGCCAGGAAATTGGCATTGAAATGCAACAATAGCTCAGCCACTGCTCTTTCCCTGACAATACACGCAATGTACAACGGTGTGGATCCTCTGATTCTACATTCGCACCTCCATCCAACAGCACGCGAAAAGTACCAACAATACCACGCATACGTGATACGTGCAATGGTGAAAAACCAGTAGAAGGGATCTGTGACTCTATATCCGCATGGTGGTCCAACAAAAATTGCGTAGTCTCATCATCACCAAAACCGCTGGCAACATGCAATGGTGTCATACCATTTTCCTCCCTCTCTTCTATGGATTCCCCATTATCAAGGAGCTCTTCAGAAGAGCCAAGTTGCCGCGGGCCATACTCATTGTTGCCATTCTTCTTCTTTGTCGAGATACTGATACGGACCAGGAACGCCAAGTATATCGTTGTATTATTAGCAATAAAAGAACTTTGGAGAAAGCCCTATCGAAGTACTTGAATAAAACACTATCCAAGTACCGGCAAAGAATTTCGAAAATCTTTGGTGGACCGTGCGAACATCCACATCATCGACATCATCCGTCTTGGTCAGAAACGAAGGGAAATCCTGTACGCCCAAGATTCGTACATACAGGAAAACCCAAATGATACATTCTAGGACCATTACCAGCAGCTTGTGCTGTTTCTTTCTAATCTTGGTCACTGGCCAGCAACATGGAGCTCAAGCGTTCTCCACAGCCACCACAAGATCTTTGGATTCTCGTTTGTCATTTGTCGCTTCATCATCAGCATCAGCATCATCATCATCAGCGATTCAGCACCAGACCACGAAAACAAGAAGATCCACTCAGCTACTGAGCATGTGGAGCAGTGATGATGAAATTGAAGGCATTGATAAATTCAAATCCTGTATTCCCTACATGCTTCCTTTATTGGATGGCGAAGGCTTTGGAAAGTTCATTTACGAACGAGTCCCTCCTCTTGGATTCTTGGACAGCTTGTTCATTGGACCCCTCTACGAATCTTATAGTCGCTTTCCCTTTTTTGGAACCTTGATTTTTATTGGACTTACACTGGGGACTCGGGGAAATACCGACATGAGTCGGAACTTACGGTTCAATGCCCAACAAGCGGCTCTGATTGACGTGGCGCTGATAGTGCCAGAACTCATTGGAAGTGGCTTTGATGGAGAAGACATTCCAAGATATCTACAAGAACCTTGTATGAACTTTGTATGGTATTTCTACATGTCCATGGTTTTGTATTCTATTTTCAGTAATCTACAAGGAAAGAAACCAAATAAAATTCCATGGATCAGTGATTATGCAGAAATCATGGTTGGACCATTTTAATTGAATTGAAAGGTTCTCGCTTTGATATTGAAGTTTGGTGGGGTCATCAAGGCAGAAAAAAGTACAAGAGTTGAAATGAATGGAGTGGAGGTTTGATGTTTGATGATCCTGGTCGCACGACACCTCGGCAGTAGTATTCGACCTTGTCAATGCAATCTCGATCCTTGTTGCCTTGGCCACGATACTGTGAGCCTAGGCGCAGCGTTAGAAATCTGTTTTGGGAGTATATGTAAATCAGAGTTAACCGTGATGAATTAATCTCGTAAGAAGAGAATGGTGAATAATTTGATGCAGCAAGCCTCGTCGTCTATAGTATCCAATACTGCCAGAGCTGCGATTGAAGTCTAAATAAGGCCTTGACTCAATCATGCCGCAATCAACCTATCTGTCAAACTATTCCCGTTTCCTTCCCTTTCCAGCTTTCAGCTCCTGAGGGTCCTGCATGCAAACAAGATCGAGACCCTGTCTATTGTTGGCTGTATTCACACCAATTCAGGTTGGAGGATTGCCTGATTTGCCTTGGATGCGAAGGTTTTTGGATTTTCATTGTGGTTGCCATCGATTTCCTAGCTTATAGATACATATATGTTCTGGTGGCTCATCGACTTTGCTCGGCACCCATCAGGCAAGTGGCGCTTCAAACGGATTGATGAGGTGGCTACGGACTTTGACCTTTTGGTGGTGGACCCTGAAGGCAAGACTGTGGTTCTCTCCCGCCTCCAGCTGGACAAATGTGAACAGAATCTTGGCGTTCAGATGTCTCCCAAATTGAACCCAAAGGCACAACATGACGTCTTGGTCGCTTCGGCCAAGTCGTGGGCAAACCAGATTGCCTCTGGTCACCTTCTTCCTTATGATGTCTTTCCGCTCCTCAAGACCACAATCCTGAAGACCCTGGGGTACCCAATGGCACTGACTCGTCTGTCAACGGCGCAATGGGGAAAAGATCTTTGCCCCCGTTCTGTGGGTTTCCCTTCCCAAGGCCAAGGTCTGTCACAACTTTCCTTGGGTCCTGGTGTATGGTCCCATGGCGTACCAGGGCCTTTGTATCAGTCATCCTGCGGGTCTCCAATTGACCAGCCAACTGGAGATGCTGCTTTGTCACCCGGTTAATCGGACCAAGACTTCTATCTTCCTTGAGGCGTGTTATCAATCCCACCTTCTTGAAACGGGGACAGACTACGCGTTGTTCCAACAGGTCTACGACAACACTGCCATCTTGGCACTGATTCTTGGTTAAAACGGGTTTGGAAGTCGATGGAGGACCACGACGTGCATGTCGAGTCCGACTCTTCCCAGCTTCCGCTCCACCATGAGAATGATCAGCTCCTCATGTTGGTGTTCATTGAGGCCAAAGGGGATCAGGAGGACTTGCTTTGGCTGAACTGGTGCCACTTGTATCTGGAGGTCTCTACCGTCACCAACATTGTGAGTGCCGATGGAACCACCATCCAGTACTCTCACTAGTTTGGAGGGGGCAGAAGTATAAAAGAGACTTGATCCAGTGGCCCCGATCTGAACAACCCGCCGAGCGGCACTGGAAGCTGTGGCGCGAGACCCTAACTCAAACCCTCCTCCAGGATACATGCAATAGTAGGCGCCTTTGTTCTCCCCTGGGTCTCTGGTCGGATGCTTTCTCCCTTTGGAATTAGCTCTTCTCCCCTTCGGCTGGCGATCTCTTCCACCGTCAATGTCACACCTGGGTTCAACTGGACTGTCTTCCTCCCTCCCGCACTCGCCAACACAAGTTTGTTCTGCCTTGCTCCCCTTCGTTTTGGCTCTTCTCTTTGCCCTCAAGCTGAGATTGTCTTGTCTGGGGTTAGCAATGGCAAAGCGGACTTGGGCCGACAATGAGGACGAACAGGATGATGATCCGCTATCGGTTTATGTGTGCTGGGCTGCCCTTGCTGCCCAAATCTCCGGCACTCTGGGGTGGAGCTGGTGCTAGACAGTCACAAAGACCTGCTTCTTGCGGCCCTTCAGTGTGATATGCTGCGGGTAGTCAGTGACGGCTCCTTCAAGGACAAGGTTGGTACCGCGGCTGCCCAGATTCTCTGCTTCGACGGCCTTGCTGTGATTAGAGTTTGGTGCCGTTGCCCAGGAATGCCTCAGGACCACAGCGCGTACCGCAGTGGGCTCATTGGAATCCTCGCAGGAGTCAAGGTGGTTTCTTGGCTGCATGACTATTTTCCCAAAGAGCACCTCTTCAACTTTCTCCCAATAATGACTGTGGCTTGTGACGGGGAGTCTGCTCTCAACAATGCCTTTGACACTGGGACCTCACGCCCTCAACAGAAGCAGTTTGATCTTCTGTTGGCCATCCGCACCTTGGCCCAGTCAACTCACATCAGCTGGCGGAAACACCATGCCATGTGCCACCAAGATGACCACGGCCCTCTGTCAAACTTGGATTGGTGGGAACTATGCAATGCGGAGTGTGACAGCGCCGCAAAAGCCTTCCTTCGCCGCCTTACAACAAGCCACCCGCCTCTGCCCGCCCTTAATCGTCGATTCGTTTTCTAGCCCTCCTCCTTGCTCACCTCTGGCGTCAAGCAATCCTGACTGGACCCCAATGCCATCATGGAACTTATCACTCTCCCCCCTCTCCCTGCCTACTGGTCCTGAAGGCACCAACTCCAATCTCCAGCCCTGCCTCACGTTGACTGGAACGTACCCTGCGTCATGATGTCGGGTTTGCCCACTGGCCGACAACGCTGGATTACAAATACAAAGCACTGTGTCAACATGTGTGGAGTGGGCAAGTTCTGTGAGCAATGGGGTCTTGATGCCCGCAACGAATGCCACAGATGCGGCCAACCTGAAGATACGCTTCATGCCCTGCGATGCTCCTGTCCTTTGGCAGCTGAGGCTTGGTCCGCCAGAGCCCTTCACCTTCAGTCTTGGATGACCGCGGAAATGACGGCCCCCACCATTGCTAATGCAATCCTTCAATTCTTTCAGACCATCAGGGGTCTGGCCATCTCCATTGACCAAGTTGGCAACCACATCCACACTTCCCGCCCCCAGCCTTTGGCTTGCGTCATTCCCAATGCATCATTAGAACCACTGTCTTCTCAAGGGTCTTCTTTCCAAACTCTTGGCGCCCCTCCAGCAGGACCACTTCCACAGCCTCAACAGCCTTTGCACCGGTACCTGGTGGGCGGCTAATTTAGCCGAGCAACTTGTTGCCCTAGGCTTCCATGTGGGAGCACCGTAATCTGGCCCAGCACTCCACAACAACGCCCAGCATCCCTTCCGTCACCGCAATGTCAATACGTCCGGAAATCAACACCATCCACCAAGAGAATCCGTTTTGCTGTGTTAACAGCATCAAGATCCTTGGGCCATATGATGATGCGCCATTTGGGAACAGTTCTCTCTGGTTATTGTTGACCTTTGCCCAAACGTCTCCCAGATGCTGTGCGACAACACCCTTTGTGAGGTTTTCCAACTTGGCCTTGTTCCATGTGACTGGTGGCTCACTCTCATTTGCCGAGAACGCACTATTGGACGTTGATCGGTCATCCAACATTGCGCTCTCCTCCATAAATGTATCCATCAGCACCCGCCACCAGCAAGACCAACTCCCCTCCTTCAGACCTACACACCCATGGCGAGGTGTCCCACTATCACCAATCGGAACGACCCTTGGTCGAGCCAATTGTGGCTTGTCCGACCCCACCCCCTCTCACCTTCACACGCATCCTCACAAAGGTGGTTTGCTACACACAGTTGGAGCTGCCATTCCAGACTATCCGCCCCCCAGCTGCCCCATAAGCAACCACACTCTCACATCCATAAGTGGCACCAAAGCGGTGGTCCACCCTTCAATCCCTGCAGCAAGACTTCTTCCAACACCTTGCCTCCTGATTACTCACCTTCATATTTTCGCCGCCTCAAGTGGCAGGACTGGCAGGACTCTTGTCTAGAGCAACTTCTTTAGTTTGTTACTACAGGATGTGAACCAAAGCTCAAGTGTACATGGCCATGATAGCCGTTACCAGCAATCCCTTTAGCCCTAGTTAAATTGATTAATGACTCAGTTATATACACAAAAACAGCGGGGCCGCTTCTCAGACCAAGATTGTTTTTCCATAGAACAACTTGAAATCAATAAGTAAGTAACCCAACCTTTACCGAAGAGTCTCAGAGAAAATTTTGGATTTATAGACAGGCACTTGAGAGTGCTTACGTGGACCTCATGACTAAGGTCTAGTTCTGTACCCAATCAAAGGAGCTTCTAGAGTCTCAATACCTGGGGCCTGTTCCATGAGCCGATTCAATTTTTCTATGTATCATGTCACAAGCGGACAGCCAAATGAAACGCTTCTCTTCCTGCAGCAGGGGGTGCTTTTTCAAGAGAAGAAAAGAAAAATTGACAGATTCTCCCAGGGACTTGGAGATTGGATCTCCCCAATCTTCTTGTAGTACTAGCAGTGGATGGATCAACATATTGTGTCAAATCATGCCAATCCGCTTGTGCGCATGTTAGACGTTCTGGACAATGATTGGGTACATGCCCTTCATTGTTGCAACGACACCAGAAGTGCAATCCTGGTCGCAGTGCAGTTGTTTGAGCAGTTGCTTGTGAATTGCTCACTCCATCAGTTGCTGATCCTGCAGCAGTCTCCGTTCTTGGAGGAGTTCTTGGATTCAGAATATTCTTCTTTCTGTTATCCGGTGGATGTTTGATCAATGCTTTGGCAACTTGGTCAATCATCTAGGGATATTCATTTCTTTGATCGTACTTGCAAAATTCCATGAAGCATGCTCGGTTTGCTAAATCAATCAGGGATTGAATTGTAGAGGAACGCACTTGTGACTGCCTTGAATGTTTCCAAAGTCTCTGCCTTGTAATCCTCTTGGAGTTTCTTGATTTCAGCTGCAGTGTCATCTAGATCAGTCAGATCCAAGTACCCCTAAGTCTGCCAAAAATCTCAAACGCTTGATCGGCCTGAGCTTTGAACCTTCTTCTATAGCAATTGTTCACAGATCATTTGTTTTGCTTCTGAGTGCAGTTTGTGAAACTCTCTTGAGAGACTCCATAAGTCCAAAGTGTTGCCACTTGGTCTCATCAGTAACAGTTATGAACACTTCAACAACTTTACCTGATCTTCCTGCAGCTCTGTCCAATCAGACTCTGTAGTCAGCTTCTCTCATCATATCTGTAATGAATTGGGTGGTGATAATTGCAGCCACTGCGTACTCAGTCTTCTTGTAGGCCAGTTCTCTTTTGTCCAACCTGTAGTTCTCAGACTTCCATAGATCATCAAGTTGCGCCTGCTTAGTTTTCTTTAACCAATCATCATCGTTCTTGCCCGGTTTGTAGATCATTTGTTTTTCCTCTGAGAGCGGCAAAGTTGATCAATGCAAGACTTTGCACAGTGGTGGTCATGTCTTCAACGTACTCCATACTGTTAGAATAATGCAAAATGTGCTCTATTGTGAGTGCTTTTAGCGCTCAGAACAAACTCTCTGCAATCTAAATTCGTAATCGACTGTACAACACTTTCATGACAATAGTTCTCCTGTGTCTAGGTATACTTTGAGTGAAATTGTTCCTATTTGATTAATGTTTGGCTTGAATTGATGATTCAATCACAAAAGTGA